AACTAAAGAGTCGCCAAAAAAAATCGTGGGTCAAAAGCCGAGAGCAACAAAATCGAAAAAAATAACGAAATGGAAAAACCAACGAGAGTGAAAAAAGGTGATATTGAAGAAACTGGAAAATCGTCACAGGAAATCTGAGGTCAAAAGTCGAAAGCAACAAAATCAAAAAAAGTATCGAAACGAAGAAACCAACGAGAGCGAAAGATGATAATAATAATAATTAATTTTCGTCTCTGGAATCGAATAATATAAAATCGATATCATAATTCGGAAAATCTTGACCGCGTAAAAAAGAAAAAAAATAAGTAAAAATATTTAAAAAATATTAGTTTTTTTCTTTTAAATAAAAAATTTATTTGTAACAAATAAAAATCATTTAAATATATATAGTTAAATATATTTTTTTAACTTTTAGTTAAAATAAATAACATTTTTTCTCTGGGTGTACAATGTGGCTAACTATTTAAAAAGATTATCAAATTGCTTGACACTCGTTACTAAGGGATCGTCCATAAATTACGTCACACCTTAAGGAGGAGGGGGTCAAGCAATTTGTGACAACCAGCAGAAAAAATGGCGCTAATGTATGCAAAAAGTGTGACATGGGGGGGGTCTAAAATAGTCAAAAATAGTGTGAAGTAATTTATGGACGGCTCCTTACGGGTGTTTGGGGTCGCTGATTATGAATCTGGTATTAGATTTTCAAAATTGAAAATTTCAGACTGGGCATCAAAATGGGAATCAATTGAAGTAGAAGCAGACATAAGAAACTCGAGTAGTGAAGAGAAGCTTGTGAAAAGTTCACTTGCACAATAACAGAACGTTGCGCTGGTGTATTTATGTGTTTTACAATCTTCGTTCTTCCCTGAAAAATTAGATCTCAAAAAGAGAAAGAAGTTAAGAGGGAGAAGGAAAGACCAAGATACAGTTGCTCAGGGAAAAAGCCTCTGTGATGAAAACCCCGAAGTGTATTTATAATTCTGACGTCCTGATAAAGAAAGTCGGTACTTGCATTCAGAGTGATTTCGAAATATTTAAAGAAACACGTTCCTAAGTGCTAATATATAAAACTAATTCAATTAATAACAATCGATATTAACTAATTTCGGTACGCTCTATTTAATGGTACTAAAAGATTTTAAAAATTTTGTTATTTAATAAACAAAAATGTCGGATACTGCTAAAATTTAACGCTGAAATTCTTAAAATCCTTGCTCAGAGTCGATACTTGCATTACTGCTGGAAAAAGCATTTGTGACGTCACATCACAGAGTCGGTACTTGCTCGTCGAAATCAGGATTTTGAGTCTAGCAATGGTTTTCCTGCAAGTAATGGGAAATACCGACTCCTCTTCAAGGAAAGAGGAGTAACTACGTCACCACTTTCCTGTCGTATAGTTGCCAATACGCGAGTCAATACATATCATGTTTGTCTGCAAGTACCGACTTTTCAACAAGATCTCAAAAAAGTTTAGTAATTAAGAACTAATTATCTTAAAAGTTAATTAATATTATAAAATAATATTATTACAGCTAGATTCCTCATTTTATAACAATTTATCAGGATGCTATTTTGTGTATATTTTAACTCATATAAAATTTTTTCTAAATTTGTTTATTTTATATATCGTAGTTTTCTATCTAAGCTTTAGTTTAGATCCCTAGAGAAGTGGATCTAAACTAAAGCTTGGAATAGAAAACTACGATTAATTTGCTTTTATAAAGAAATTTTTCGAAAAAAAGCTTAGGCGGTCCACTCAAGGTGATATTACCCTACAATTATGTCTGGTCTGCCGTGTAAAGTAAAAAGAACTCAAGTGGCATTTCGTTCGAATGGAGAAAATCAAGAAAAACCGTTTGCTTCTAGGACTTCAATATAGAACAAAAATTTAATTTATGTAAAATCACTTTTTAGGTAAAATCAAATTGATGATATTTCGCAAGAAAGAAAGTAACTTTTAAACAATCCGCAAATAAAGTTGCGGAGTTTGAAAATGGCAAATACAAGGTAAGAAAGGACACAAAGTAAGAAGATACGACATGAACCCAAATTCCGTGAAGTGCGAGAACGTTTCTTATACTTTGCAAATCCTATCCATCTAAAAGATTTTTGCAATTCCAAAACAACGCAAGTGTGGAAGTTCGTTTTACTTTGTGAACTCAGCTCTTCCTCGGACTCTTTTACAAAGTAAAAGAAACACACGTGATTTTGTGTTCTTTTCATTTTGCATTTTGTCACTTTTAAGATTTTTCTCATTTTTAAACAATCTAGTTTTGTAATAAATAATTAAAATTGGCAATTTTTTATACAGTTAGATGCACCTCCTTTTTTACGCATCCAAGGATACCAAAAACTCTATTTCAACTAAAATGTCACTTATGTTCTTTTCACTTTGCACGGCAGTGGTAATGTCGGAAGAAAAAGGCTAATTAAATTTTTAATCGCTTGGAAAAAGTGTGGTGCAAGGTTTCAATATTCGGATAGGCTATATATGGGCATATCTCTAGAACTTTTAAACTTTATGTTATCGCTCATTATGATACCTTAAGAATTTTTTAAATAATTTTTCAATACCATAATTTGACCAATTATAGGGCTTTTTAAATGTATCATGCGTTATATAATTTTTTTCATTATGTAGGAAATGACGAACGTAAGTTAAAGTGGTGAAATCGACAGTTTCTAGTGTGTGATATTGACTGGTTTTTTTAGTTTATAGACTGTAACTTTTTTAACGAAACATTGTGTGTCTTGTGGCTTGCAATAGGAGTCGGTGGGAGTGTAAAGAACTAAAAAATCCATGAAACAATGATGTGCCTCAAATTGAATAAAAACTATGTAGCTTCAAACTTGCGAGACAACTTTTTCAAAATTTCTACAAGTTAGCAGTTAAACTGATATAACTTTTTTAACGAAGGTTTTTGAGTAACGGCACAACGGGATTATATTATCTACCTAATAAGAAGTAATTTGAACCCATACAGGAATGTGTGCCTCCTTTACACAAAGAATGCAATGACTTCAAACATTAAATTTTAAAACGTAACTCAAATCAAAATACCACATATTTGAAAAGCACATGTTGAATTTTGCTTCTAAATGCTCCCAACTCATTGTAATCTCTTCTCATGCATTATAAAAGTATACAGAAAAATAGTTAACCTTTGCACACTTCATTAAAACTGTATAATTAATAATGAATATAAACCTAAACTGTCCGACGCATAGTTTGTGAAGAAAAGTAAGTATTAACTAATAGATGTGTTTAAATCTGGCTGATATTTCTCACTCGAAGGTTTTTGGGGTCGCTGCGACTACTAATCTGAATTTTAAATTTTCCAAAATTCAAAATGGCGAATCCAATATGGCGGACGACTTTTTAAAAAAGTGATCCCATTGGGCTCAAATTTGTTACTCGGGGGTTTATGGGGTCGCTGATTACGAATCTGAACTTAATTTTTCAAAATTCAAAATGGTGGATCCAAAATTGCAAACAAAATTTTTTAAAAAATTAAATTTTTAAAAATTCAAAAATTGTTATAAACTACATTTACTTATGACTTAATAAGCAATAGGCCATAAAATTTTCGAAACTGTAGCATTAAATCATTTTAAAGGTGGTAGCGACCCAAAAAACCCCCGAGTAACAAATTTCAGACAAATTCGATCAATTTTTTTAAAAGTCGTCCGCCATATTGGATCCGCCATTTTGAATTTTGAAAAACTAACGTCGCATTTGTAATCAGCGACCAAAAAAATCCGCGAGTATCAAATTTCAGTCAGTTTTAAACACATCTAGAGATTTTGGGCAGGTTTTTTGCAATAAGGCCCACTGTGATGCGTAACAATGTGTAAAAATGAGTTACGCAAATTTTTTTATAGTATTTGATCAATACTGAAGACAATAAAATTTGTTTCACGAATGTGCCCTGAAAAAAAAATTAATTTTTCTAATATCTCAAAGTTTAAAAGTTCTAGAGATATGCCCATATACGGATTTCATGTATGGCCCACGAATGGAACAGGGCTTCCATGCATGCACCATGGATGGATCCAGGCATGAGTTTCTAATTGGGATGTGACTGTTTTGTCTATTCGGATATCTGATGGGGACTATAGGAATTACGTTCTATAACGCTACCGTATGATGTAAGAACTTAGGTATCCGACATTGTCGCTTAGGCTGATTTTAGTGCGTTCTTACTACTGAAATATCGACCAAAACGAAAGTGTCGGTCACCTAAGTTTTTACATCACAATAAATGATTTTAATACTTCTACATCAAAGAGTTTCAACATATTCATTTTAATTTAAAAATATATATCGTCTATTATATTACATACAATAAAGCGGTTTTGTAAAGGGAATTCCTCATGAAAATTTTTTTTTATTTTCTTTTTTGCTATTCTTAATGTTTTTAGAATGTAGGTTTCAAATTTTATGATGAATTTTAACTTTTATCAAAAATTCTAATATGTACATGTCATCAAAAAACAGTTTATTGTTTTCTCGCAGCCAAGCCGGCGTTTTTAATATTCCTTTGTTTTAATATATTAAGTGTTTTTTCTGCTTAATATATTAAACTAAACTAAACACTAATCAATTTTCTTTTTAAATTCGTATCATTCGTTTAAATTTTGATTTTCTAAGGTAATTGTAGGTGTAAATACTACAATTTTGTACTTCAACTTTAACAGTTTTTTTGTTTAGATCTCTGAGGACGGCGCTAAGCTTACAACCGCGGTGCGCGTCAAAAAGGGTCGTCTATGACACCCTCTACATTTTAACACAATACAAAAAAAAATTTCTAATTGTTTTTAATACGTAGGATTATAATCTTCACTATTTAATTTTTTTTAAATTTTATAATAAGGTAAACAAGAAAAAAAATGTTGAATTTTGTTGTTTTTCAAATTTATCATGAGAAATACCCTTTAATAGTGAAAATATAAATTAAATTGTATATTAATGTTTACATTTTATGAAAAATTTTACTCACCTTTTTCAGTTCCTTTTAAAGCAAACCTCTGATTTACTTTTGCATTATTTTTAGCAACTCTGTAAAAAAGATTTATTTCCATAAGTTTTTTTTTCATTTTGTTAAAATATTTATTAATATGTGAACGTCTGTATGAAAAAAGGGACCACTTTGTCGATTACAATAAGGATTATTTTTGTGTGAACATCAATGCGAATATCGCTCTTACGAAAGAAACTAAAGTGGTCCTTTTTCATGCGGACGTCCACATAATTATATGTATTTGTATCATGCAATATATATTATGTCTTAAATAATTGCATTTTCATGAAACTTGTAACTAAAAATATTAAAAGTAACTTTTTTTATAAATGTCTAAGACGATTTTTTGCTTTTATATTAATACAGACATTTCTTTGAATTCTGTTTATATACATTCAAATTAATTTATTAAAAAAATGTTTTAATTTTATTAAACCATTAAGGACTAAATGTACATAATTTGTCCATGAAGTTTGACTCTTGTTTTTAATGATAAAAAGATAAAGAAAAAAATTTTGCAATACCCATTTCTTATAGTTTAAGAAATGCAAAATGGCGACTAAAATAGATTCTTTTTACAAATTCATCGTAGGGTATACGAAATCCTAAAAACAAAAAAAACTGATCAATTTGGCTTAAAAATTGTTACTCGTAGGTTTTTGGGGTCGCTGATTACGATTCTGAGGTCAGATTTTTAAAATTCAAAATGGCGGATCCAATATGGCGGACGATTTTTGCAAAAATGATCAATTTGCCTTAAAACTTATTACTCAAAGGTTTTTGGGGTCGCTGATTGCAAATCTGATGTTACACTTACATAATTATAAATGTCTAACCCCCAAGGGACAAGTTTCAAGTGAATATAATCAATTTTTGCAAAAGTCGTCCGCTATAGTGCGATTCCAGGTGAGATTTTGACTTTTTCGGAGTAGGTTAACCGATTGCAATGAAACTTTGGAATTTTGTTATATATAGTAAGACTGATCTTTAACGTAAATTTCAGCTTAAAATATTTGTTAGTTTACGAGATTTGCAATAATAACAAAAAATTTTAAACTGCTATATCTTCCGTTCTAATAATCGGATTGAGGTCTACTTTTTTTTAAAATGTCAAGGAAAATGAGAGGAATAAATCTCTTTCAGAACAATTTTTTATAATTTTACAACTAAAAAAATTATTAAATAATAATTGAATAAATTTCATGCGACTATCTAAAATTCAATCACTTAAACGCTAAAATGATCTTACCTGTGTTTTCTTTAATGTTCCAAAGGAATCCAATTGTAAATGCAAGTTTAACTTATTTAATTTTAATAATTTACGAGTATAAACAATTGCGATTTCTGCTAGTTGACGTGCAGACGACATTGCGCACGCAGCATTCTCACGTAGCCAATTTAGTCCACGAATCACGTCAGTTGGCTACGTGAGAATGCTGCGTGCGCAATGTCGTCTGCACGTCAACTAGCAGAAATCGCAATTGTTTATACTCGTAAATTATTAAAATTAAATAAGTTAAACTTGCATTTACAATTAGAGGATTCAAATTTATACATTTTTACGTATTTTTACGTGTAGATTACAAGAAAAATATAGTGAGCATGATTGGAGTTGATAATCATAGCATTTTCTAGTAAAAACTGATAATTTTCGATAAAAATTATGAATTTTCTTCAAAAAACGAAGAAAATTTTATCTAATGGGCTTCAAACTTATGCATTTTACGTATAGTTTACAAGAAAAATATAGTGAGCATGATTGGAGTTGATAATCATAGCGTTTTCAAGGAAAAACTGATAATTTTCGTTATATGTGACTATGTGTCTATCTATGTGTTTTTATACTCACATTACAGGAAAAATTAAGCAAAATTTGAATTTTTCCACCTGCCTTCACAGTTTAAGCACCTTAAATTTTAGGTTTAAGGGTACGGAATCCTCGTCTTTAATGCGAGTGTAACTCGCACTTGTCCGATTTTTTTTGTTCTATCTATTTTAGTCGCCATTTTTAAATACAATAAAATAAATATTACTTATAAACATACGTTAATTTTCAATGCGGAATTCGAAATAGCGATTTTTAAACTATAAGAATTGTGTATTGCAAAATTTTTTTCTTTATCTTTTATCATTAAAAACAAAAGTCAAACTTCAAGGACAAGTTGTGTACATTTAGTCCTTAATGGGTTAATTCGTAACTTTAGCGAAATGCTTTCAGGGTGTCCAGCAATTTTTGAAAAAATAAAATTCAAAGGCTTTTCAAAGTTTTTCAATATACAAAATAATTTTTTTTTAAGGTCTACTTTCGGCGTAGAAACTAAAAAATATTTTTCAAACAATAAAGTAAATGTTTAACAGTTTATGAATTGAAAAATTAAATCAATAAATTTTAAGAATTCAAATTTAAAGGATAAATTTAAAACACGAACAGTTTAAGAAAAACATTGAGAAAAAAAACACAATTTGAGAAAGGAATAATACAAAAGAAACTTTGAAAGAAAAATCGAGAATTTTAAAAATTCACAAAATGAAATAAGTATTTGTCAGAAAAATTGAGTATTGTGTGGAAAAATCAATCGTGTAGATTTTGAAAAAATTCAATTTTTTCAAAAAATAAAATTTCTGAAAAATAAAAAAAAATGGTAAAATTGTTAAAAATATCTATTTTTCATAGTGAAATATGATTTCAAAGTTCTAAGAAATTTTTTTTTTAAATTGTTACCGCTGAATAAGACCAATTATTTTTTAATTTATCACACAATTATATAATGAATAAAATTAACAAATAAAATACTCACTCGTTAACAACTCCTTTGAAGGCTGATTGCAAGAGTCTTGCCGATTGAATCGGAACAGCTCTATTTAACCGTTCTGCTCGCCTCCTACTAAGTTCTGTACGTAAATCACCCTCTTCATCAATAGAAGTAACATCTTCTAATTCTGTTTCGATTTCACTTGTTCCTCCCACTGTAGTTTCCATTTTTCGTTTTTTAAATTTCTTCTCCTTTGCAATACGATCTGACATTGCCAGATCTTTTAATTTACCAACTTGATAAATTTCCTTATCCTTCTTCTTTTTCTTTTCTTGATTTAATGGATGTACTTCCAAAGAAATTTCCTCTGCTTCTGGAATTTTCTCTATGGCCTCTTCATTTATTTCTTCTTCTACACTTTCAGAATCATATATTTCATCAGGTAACAAATCTACTTCTTCATCTTTGGATTCTACTGTAATTACTTTTCTTCTTCGCCTCTCAACAGATTCTTCCATAACCTCAGTAGGTTGTTCTGTTCGTTTAACAACAATTTTTTTAACTTCCACTTCTTTGACTTCTGGCGGTTTTATAATTGTTTTCTTTGTTTCTTCCTTTTTGTTACTTAATTTGATTGTTTTATTGGCATTGATTGGGTCAATTGGCGTAACAGATTCAAATTTACGTTTTCTTGCTTCTAGAACAGGATCTAGAATTGGTTCTTCCTTTACTGTTTCAATGACTTGAGATTTTTGAGGAAGATTTTCTTTTTTTGATTTTGATTTTTCCATTTCAGATGACGATTTCTTTTCGTCAATAAGTTGATTTTTCTTTTGAGGTGAATTACTACGTTTCTCCGGTGTAACAGATTTTGTTATTCGAGGTTTTCTTGTACACTCTTTTGGTGACCATCGCGGTGATTTAAGTCTTTTAGGTGACATACGAGGCGATCTTCTGGGCGATGACCAAGGTGATCTTCGTGGAGAACCTCTTGGTGAACGATATCTTGGTGGAGAAAGTCTTCTTGGTGACATTCTCGGTGATCGAAGTCGTGAAGATGCTCTCCTTGGTGATCGAGGAGGACTTCTTGAACGTGAAATTCTTCTTCGTGGCGATCTTGGACTTCGAGAACGTGATGCTCTTATTTTGGGTCTCGGCGAATATCTATGAGGTGAATACCTTGGTGATCGTAATCTTCTGGGAGAACGTCTTGGCGTTCTTGATCGAGACCTTGGAGATCTAGACCACATTCTTGGTGAACGAGAAAGCGATCGTGTTGGTCTTGGCGATCTATTTCTGGGAGACAGTGCTCTAGACATTAAAGGCGATCTTCTATCAGGTGATCTTTGAGGTGACAGTCGAGGTGATTTTTGACGTGGTGAAATTTTTGGAGATCGAGGTGAATATCTTGTGGGAGATTTTCGCGGTGATCGATACCTCGAAATTTCTCTCAATGGCTTCTTTAATAATCTTAATGGTGATCTTCTTGGTGATCTTCGTGGCGAAACTTTTCTCCATGGCCGAGATTTAGGTGAGGGAGATCGCTTTCTAATATTTGTTCGAGGAGAAAGTGGTCTTGGTTCAGCTTTAGCAACTATTGTAACTGGTTTAGGAGGAACAGAAATTTCTACTTTATCCTTTAAACTATCTTCCTTAACATTTGTTACTTCACCTTTTAATTTACTCGGATCGCGTACTTTTTTCAGTGCAATTTTTTCTTTCTTTATCACTTTCTTTTCTGTTATGTCTATTTTGTCGTCTTTTATTTCTCTTTCCATTTCATCCATAAGGCGCTCTAAACTGTCTTCTTCTTCTAAATCGGCCATAAGAAGAACATCATCATCATCGTCGTTGAGAAGACGATCTTCATCAGCTTCTTCAGCAGCTTTTTCTGATGAATTTTCTTTAATGCCACTTTCACTTTCCCTGTCAGCTGCACTTTCATCAGCTTCCGCGGATTCTGTTTCTTCTGTTTTCACTTCTACCTTAACATCAACATCCTTCACTTCGTCATCCTCTGAACCACTCGCATTATCGTCATATCGTTGAAATTTTGATCCATCTGCAAATTATTTAATCAATGATTTTACTAATATAAGTATATAATTGTTAATAAATATTAATTACAATCAGAGACAATTACAATATTAAGGGGAATTACTTGATAGATTTTTCCAAATATCTTATAAGATTAAAATAAATTTATAAAAAATATTGCATTGACATTTTATAAATATTACTTTTATGGTATCATAAGACGTAAATAAAATATAAATTTTTATAAAATAATATCTTGCCCTGAATTTTTTTCAAAAGTTCCTTATTACAATAATACATAAAAAATAGTAATTTACCTGAAGGAGTTTGATTAACTTTTTTGTCAATATTTTCCTTTGAAACAGATGTCGGATTCACTTCCCCTTGTGGAACAATTTCTATTAAGTTCGGGTTCCGGTAAATATTTTTAGGGAAGTAATTCTGAAAATAAATATTCTTTTTAAATCAGTTAAATTATATATTCACTGAAAGAAAACATTTGAGGAAACAATTTTGAATTTGAAATTCAAAAGTCGATAAATCCATTTTTCAAGAAAGTGGAGATAAACCTAGATTTAATATATTAAAGACCTTACCAATCGATCTCCCAATGTTGAATTTAAGAAAAAAAAATTATTAACAAAAAAACTTTTATTTTTTTGTTAGAAAAAATTACCAAAACCTTAAAATTCTCCAATTATGATAGACTTTAATTAAAAACAGAGTCTTACATTAATTTTTCAAATAATTAAATTGCAGAAAAATTTAGATTTAAAAAAAAAATTTCTGTAAATTTAAACTGCTGTAGTTTTTTTTATTTCTAATAACAATTAAATTTCAAAGTTTTTATTTGAAACTATTTTAAATAATTAAATTTTTAAAGAAATTATAAAATTATTTAAAATAATTGAATTTTGGAAGAGTTACAGTTGAAATTTTTAGAAATACATAATTGAATTTCAAAAGATTTTGTTAAACAGGCAATAATTAGAAGAGAGGGTCCCAAGATAGACATTTGATATAACATTTTCGTATAAGTATATATCGCCTTGTAATTTTTTTTACTGATTTAGTTTGTTTAGATGAAGCCTTTTATATAAACACGGATCGGAAAGAATTATTTTTCTTCCTGTAACATATATCACGTGGATTTTTGGTTTTAAAAAGTTTTGTAACAGTTGTTATTTCAGTCAATAAAATTATCAATATTTTTGATTTCGAAAAGGTGCATATCGTAATAACCTCATTTATTTATCGTATAATATTATTCTAAAATGATTCGGTTGACACTGTGTTTGTAAACAATTTTTATTTGCGCCAAAAAAATGGGGTCATTGGTCCTAAGATGGACATCCCACCTTAATTTTATTTATTGCTTCCTCGTGGAGGAAGCTTTGTAGTCCTTTCGTTTATAAAACTTTTCAAAGTGGCGGAAACAAATTTTTTTCTTTATAGAAACATGTTATATGAGATCCTGATCAATTGTCCGGATGTGTGTGTGGATCCCTTTTTTGTTTAGAAGATAACTTTAACAGGTTTTAATGGATTTAGATAAAATTTGGTAGGCTCATTTATCATATTAATATCTCAAATCTGACCAAAGGATTTTGAAAAATACCGAAAAAAAAAAATTTTATCGTCTTTTTTCCAAAAATTTTTTGTTAAGGGGGGAACACCAGTTGTAACTTTCGAAAAATCGATTTTTTTTTTGGTGCATTTTCTTAAAGTATACATATTTAGAAATGTGTCTGTAAATTTCAAAGTTGATCCGGTGAAAAATAAATGAGATATACAGAACACTGCAGCGGCGCGTCCCGTGGCTTCATACAAGGTGGCCAGCCATACCTGACCCTAACGACAGATGGCCTTTTCCTATGATTTAGAAACGGCAACCACTGCGGAAGAGTTATTATATGGTCCAGGAATCGATGACTCTTTGTAACTTAGAAACAAAATTTCTTCTGAACAAAAAAAAGTAAGTTGAAACTTTTAATGCGTTTTTCTCAAAATGACATTTTCCAAGTCGGTGACCACGATTACTCGAATACCATTAAACCGATTTATTTAAAATTTAGTGTGCTTCATTTACACATATAAGTCTAGTTCGTGATCGAAGGATTTTTTTTTTTAATCAAAACTTTTTTTTATATAGCTGAAAATCGACCGTATTTTTTTAACGAAAATCATACTTTTGACTTTGACAGGTCGCCATTTTGTCAAATTTTTTTTTTTTTTTAAATCCTTCGATCACGAACTAGATAATCTTATAATAAATGTAAATCAATTTCATTTTTGTATTTCAGACGAAGTATACTTGCAGAATGCTGGTCACCGCAATTCGCCTTTTTTCTTAAGACGCCACTTCAATGGCTCATATCTCCAAAAGTTTTTGTTAAAAAAATTTTTTTTTTCTTTTAAATTACAGCTTTTTACATGTACTTTTAACTAATAAATAGTATTCTTTAAAAAGATTCATTGTTCTTTTGGAAAATATTCTTGAAAAAAGCATTATTTTTTGAGTTACAACTGGTGTTCCCCCCTTAATCGAAAAAATTTTTAAATAGAAAAATTTAAGGTTATTTATAATAAAATCGTATTCCTTACGTCAAGACGAATCGATAGATATATATAAAGTATACATTTGAGGTAAATTTAAAGAATTAATGAAAGTTAAAAAATCAAAAATTCACATTTTGGTAATAAAATTTTTTTTAATGCATTTTATGAAGGTGTCCATCTCGGGGACACTTTTTTCAAATCGAAATTTACAACAATTTAAAAAAATTCTTTAAAAAATGTTTGTTTGCAAATTCAAATTTTTTCTTTATGGCCAAAAGATACCTTATTTATTGTACTTTCATACGGTATGCACCATTTTTAAATATCCTAAAACGTTGGGATTCTAGAACACAAAATCAAAACTATGTCCATCTTGGGGTCCTCTCCCCTAAGTTTTACAAAAATTGAAAATAATTTATCACATAATTTTAGACAACATTTTTTAAAAGTAATTGAATTTTCAAGGATTTACAATTCAGATTTTTGAAAATACAATTAAACTTCAAGAAATTTTTAATTGAAATTTTTGTTTATTTCTATTGATAAAGAATTTATTAGACAAGGGGCCATCCATATACCAAGTGGACATTTTAGGGGGGGGGATAAAAATGTATAAAAATGTCCACGATTCAATGTATTTTGATATACACAATGGGGGGGGAGGAGGGTCAAAAATCAGTAAAAAATTGTCCACGTGGACATTGTACTAGAACTTTTAAACTTTATGTTGTCGCTCATTATGATACCTTAAAAAATTTAAATATAACTTTTCAACACCACAGTTCAACAAATTTTTGTTCTTTTTACATGTAACAAGTGTTTATTACTTATTATGAATATGTAAAAAACAATGAGAGTAAATAAAAGTAGTAAATTTGTCTGTTTTTGGTGCGCGAACTCACTACATTTTTTCAGTTTTAACGCTGAAACTTTTTTAACATTTTTTTTATGGTCTGTGGTTTTTTGTGGATTTATTTGGAGATGTAAACAAATGAAAAATCCTTAAATTAATGATGTGCCTCACAGAAGAATAAAATTATATACCTTCAAACTTGCGAGATAACTTTTTTTATAGTTGACTATATGGAAATGGTGCGAAAAACGAAATCTGTGGATCCACGCTTCTTATATTGAATCGAAAGAGAATAAAGAGGCGGATGAAAAATCCAGAAGACTACCACAAGACACCGAGTGGAAGTTGTCACAGTGGGCATTCGAAAAAATCTTTAAAAAATTTGGCAGTTTCGAGATAGATCTCTTTGCGTCAAAAGCTAACGAAAAATGCAAAACTTATATCTCATGACATCGAGATCCTGATGCCATTGTGGTAGACGCATTTACAATAAATTGGTTTGGCGTCTATTTCTATGCGTTCCCTCCATTTTGTCTGATTTTACAAACCCTTCAAAGATTCAGTCAGACAAAACAAAAGGGATAGTTGTAGTGCCATTATGGCCATCCCAGCCATGGTACCCCCTTTTTATGTCCCTGATAGTCTCAGAACCAATTATCTTTAAGCCCAATAATAAATTATTGTTTTGCCCTTATAGGAAAACACATCCACTGCACAAGAGCCTTTATTATTATTCGGAGGATATTCGAGCTAAGAGGAGCGTCGGAATACGCAACAAATGTAATAAAAGCCACTATTTCGGAAGGAACCCTCAGACAATAAGAAAAACCATTAAAATTATGGTAGCAACACACTCAAGAAAACGAAATCTCCCCCTATGAAACTAATACATCAGAGGCACTAAAACTAAAACTTAAGTACGATGTCACATGGGACCCCCAACTGGTTTTAAACTACATAAAATCATTAGGCTAAAATAAAGACCTAAGTTTAAAAAAACTCACAAAGAAACTAGCCTCCCTGTTAGCGATAACAACAGCACACAGGGTACAGACCATAGCAGCAATAGAGATTCAAAATACGAATATAACAAAAAATTCGATTCAAATAAAAATAACAGCAAAGACAAAAACAACAGGTAGAAGTAAATATTAGCCCTTAATTAAGTTAAACTATAAAGAGGAACTATGCCCCGTAGCAGCAATCAAGTCGTACCTCGAAAAAACTGATCCAATAAGGGAGAACCCAAGAAAAGGGAAGCTCTTTATCACATATAAAAAACCGCACCGAGAAGCTACCAAAACAAACCATTAAAGGATACCCTTAAAGCAAGTGGAATCGACACAGAAGTCTTCACGACCCACAGCACGAGGCACGCAGCATCCTCCGCAGCCCTACGAAAAAGAATAAACATCGAAACCATCCGCAAAGCCGTAGGGTGGACTCCCACCTCGACAGTATTCGCGAAATTCTAGAACCGGCCAATCGTCGAAAAACATCATTTTCAACGGCTATAATTGATAATACTCAAAAATAGAGGGCTATTTACTTTCCTCTCTACATTTACTTACTTTAATATAACAAATTTACTTATAACATATTAATAACAATAAAAAACATATGTTTATTATTTTTTTATAACAAACAAGAGAGTAAATCATTTTAAGCTCTGAACATCTACTTAATTGATCTTGAGGACGAGGCAGTGAAATACAATTGAATGATTGAACAAGCTTACCTGAAGTAAAGTTCAATCCAAATTGTATGAGCTGCCTCGTCCGAAAAGATCAACCCCTCCCAAACCCAAAAATAAAAATTTATTTCTAAAAAACCCAAAGAAAAAATTATTCACACCAAACTCTAAAATATAATGACTAGGAAACGGAAGTCTAACACGGGCGACACCTATATGGAAGTGGCGCCAAAAAACCTTTGAATTTGAAATAGTGTGGCAGAACAAACGGTAACTAAGGATACTACGCAATTGATCTTTTCAGACGAGGCAGCTCATACAATTTGGATTGAACTTCACTTCAGGTTAGCTTGTTCAATCATTTAATTTTAGAAGAATGTTATAAATTTTATTAAAAATAATGGAATTTCAGAAGAGTTATAGTTGAAATTATTATATTTCATAAAGTTTTAGATGGAAAATTTTAGAAATAATTAAATTTTAAAAAGATTTAAATTGAAATTTTTGAAAATAATTGAATTTCAAGTGTTTTTGAATTGAAATTTTTAGTAATGTTATTTGCTGATTCTTTTTTAATTTAAACAATTATTAATAAATTACAAAAAAATTTTAATTTATTAATTTATTTATTTAATAATTTAATTGAAAAATAGTTGAAGATAATTGAATTTGTAAAAATAATTAATTTAGAGAATTTTAATTTAAAATTTGTTAAATAATTGAAATAAAGAAGATCTGAAGATGATCTACATTGTATACAAAAAAAAGTCGTAAAAAGTCGCATCTTATTAAAATAAGTGGGGAAAAATCGTATAATCCGAGGACTGCAAAATATGGATTTATCAATTTTTGAAAAATTACTCCTAAGTTAAATATATTATGTAATAAATTATGTAAATTATGTAAATATATTATGTTATCGATTTTTGTAAGTACAAACTAAAGTACAATTCTAAAGTTCATAATACATTTTTTAACTTAAAGGCGGATATTCTATTGAAATTTTATCTATAATCTTTTAAAAATCAAAAAATTAAAAATTTTTAAACTTTTGTTTAAAACTCGTTTTGTAATTTCCAAACTATAATAATTAGTTATTAGAATATTTAAAAATGAATCTTGTATTTTTTTAAGATACAAATGATGTAACAAATTTATCATTGTGTTCTTAAAAAATATACAAATACATAAAAATGAAAAAATCGATTTTACTTACATGTCTGACTCCATTTTGCCTCTGTTGTCTATGATGAAAATGATCCCCTCTTGATTGTTTATAATAACGTAAGGATTGTGACCCTTGAAAACCTCCAACATGACTTCGATGAGGAGAGTTGCGTTTTTTCTGTAAAGTGTCTTTCACGCGTAATGTTTGTAAAGCTGCAAGTCTCAAAGCTTCCAAGTCATCCTCATCATCTTCATTTTTACATTTATGAGATTGCGCCGATACTATCTGTAATGATTTTTTTTATTACTTTATGAATTTTAATATCAAAAATAAAAAGGGGAGTAGACGGATAAAATATTCGAAAAAGCTGAATCTCATATTCGGGTCTAATAAGGCGGTCAAAATTTCGAATTTAATTAAATAAAATAGTGTTAAGATATTTTTAACTAGAATATTTTTTTTTACTGGTTATTAAAAGAAGAACTAAAATTATAAGTTTCAAGCGTTGTTAAAGTATCACTTTAAGTTGAGAAATTAATGTTTCTTTCCTGTGATTTAAATTCTAAATACATGCAAATTAATCTTTTTATGTAAAAAAAATCTGAATTAAATAACTAGAAAAGTAAGCAAAATATCTTCATGAAATTTTAATAGCTGGTAAATTATATCAACATTTAAATATTAACAATACCTAAAATTTTATAATATTCAAAAAAAAGTCACAAGCTCTGAAAAATTTCGAAATTTTTCCAAGTACAAAATTTTTACTATTATTATTTTAAAAAAGAATATTTGCATAATAATAATATCGACATTTTTAAGTAGAGTATCAAGAATTTTATATTTTTGATAAGTTTTTGAAATTTAATAATAAACACTCTGAATAATAACGATGCGTAAAAAATACAAAATAATGTTCTGAACCTTCTATTTTTAATTAAATTACAAAATTAAAACTTACGCCATATTATGAAATTAATGAACTAAGAAAATATTCAAGTTAATTCGATTCTTTTTATTTTAACAAAATTTAATTGGTTAATGAGTATTTTACTTTAAATAACTAATGTTATCAGATATTAAGATCATTTTATTAATTCTGTAATCAGAATAATTCTATAAAAATATTATCAAAAAAATATATTTCGAATATTTCAGAATCCAACTAATTGTAAGACAAATTTTCAAAATTTTATTTAAGTAGAAGTAGAACAAATTTAAAAAAAAAAAACTTCTTAAAGTTCCATTTTTATAATTTTTTAAAGACTTAAGAAATTTATTCAAATTAAAAATTTTGTCATAGTTTTTAGTTTTGATAGTCAAAAAATAAAGAGTTTAAAGACTTAAGAAATTTATTCAAATTAAAAATTTTGTCATAGTTTTTAGTTTTGATAGTCAAAAAATTTCAGGCAATACTTAATCAAGTTTTACAGATTTTTAAATAAAATTTTTTTTATAACTTTGGAAGAGTTAAAGTTGAAATTTTTAGAAATAATTGGATTTCAAAAGATTTTGTTAATTTTCAAACAAGAATTAAATTTTACAGAACTATAAAAATTATTTATCAAATAATTTTAGATAACATTTTTTAAAAGTAATTAAATTTTCAAAGATTTAAAAATTAGATTTTTGAAATTAATTGAACTTCAAGTGATTTTTAATTAAAATTTTTTGATGATTTCTGTTACTAAAAAATTTATTAAAGACTGCAAACAAAAATATAATAATTTGAAAACTTTTTAAGTGAAAAATGGTTTCAGATAGATGAATTTTCGAAGAATATTATAAAAATCATTAAAAATAATTGAATTTCAGGAGTTATAATTCATATGATTAAATTTCAAAAAATTTTAAATGGAAAATTTTAGAACCATTTAAATTAAATTGAAATTATATTTAATTTTTTATTTATTTTTAAATAATTGAATTTCAAAAGATTGTGTTAAATTTCAAACAATAATTATAATAAGAGAAATTTCTAGTGATTTCTGTTGATGAAGAATTTATTAGAAATCAGATACAAAAATTGAATTTCAAAAGATTTTAATTGAAATATGCTTTCAGATAATTGAATTTTCGAAGAATATTATAAAAATAATTAAAATTTTTGCAAATATGTAATTAAATTTCAAGTGATCTTGAATTAAAAATTTTTGGTAATTTTAATTGCTAATTTTTTAAAAATTATAAACAATTTTTAAACTTCATAAAAATGTAAATTGAAAAATAGATTAAGATCATTGAATTTGTGAAAAATTTCATTAAAAATATTAAAAATGATTAATTTAGTGAAGAATTTTAGTTAAAAATTTGTTAAATAATTGAAATAATAAAAATTTAAAGAATATCTGCATTGTATACTAAAAAAATGTATTTTGTTTAAAATTTTTTTTAAAAAAAGTTGAAAAAGACGCATTTTATTAAAATAAGTCGAAAAAAAGTCGAAAAAGTCGTATAATCCAAGGCCTGAATGTACTGTCTGCTTCTGATGTTAAATTTGAAAAAAATCATAACTTCTATAATTTTTATAACTTAAAAAAATTATAAAAATATTTATTTTCTTAATTTTCAAAAAGATTTCGACAAAAAATGTTGAATGTAATTCACACGTGGAAAGCTCCATATATTAACAAGAAATTAAATTAAAAGCATTTACAAAAAAGAGAAACTTAAATATTCACTAAATTTTAATTTTTTACAAAAGGCATTTTACCAAAAAAAAACTGAAATATGTACTAAACTTCAGTTTTATTAAAAAATGCGTTTTTACAAATTAAATTAATATGTTACTTGTTATCTTTTATCGGTGCTATAGATCGTTATTCCTCCTAACGTGTGTATGATAAAATAATAATAAATTATACATATTTACATTTTAAAAAAAAAACATTTTAATCAAACGCACTTATTTATCAATGGTAACAGTATATCATTTCATAATAATCTGATGCTTGTTAAAATGAACCACATATAATTATTCGAGAACAGTACTCAAAATATTAAAATTAAATATCTATTAAATATCAATATTTAAGAACAATTTTGAAATATTAAGTGTGTAATTTGTCTAATCAATTAAAAAAATAACAATAGCTACAGTAAAATAGTATAAAATATAATTGTATAATAATATTGTGCTCGAATAATGAGAATAAGTAATTTTTTAAAATAACCTTTCTTCTTTCAAAAATTATATTATAATTAGAAAGCTTCGCGAAAGTACAATTTAAAAACTTAAAAACATTAATTCATTTAAAAAATGTTTAATATCTTTTTTCTATATGCAAGTGTGTTTCAAACAAACAAAAAAGCTATCAGAAATTTCAAAATGCTCTTAAATTATTGTCAATTTATGAAATTTTTAAAAAATTTAAAATTTCAGAAATTATTTCTTACAACACAGGGTTTAATTATATAAAATTAGAATAGAATTGCGTTTTTATAAAAATTACTTTCTTATTTTGGATTATTTATAGTTTTGATCCTCTTATTTGGAGTTTTTCCCTGACCTAGGTATAGATTTTACTTCAAAAACCCTTAAAGTGTCATTAGTAATCTAAAGAAAATTGAAAAGAATAAAATTCTATTATGTATTTTAAACAACCAACAACTAGAAAGATTAGCTATACCTGACTAAAATTACATTAATATTTCGTAGTTAGTTCTACTTAATGTACGTCTAATTTTTACACAAACAAAATTATTTCAACTGCAGAAAAAATAACACATTTATGTAAAATGCAATTATATTTTGTTTAGAATTAAAAACTACTTCTGATTTTCATAAGGAAAAAGAAAATTACACTCGTGATACAGGTCATTCGAAATTAATAACTATATAGCAGGGCTGAATATTGCGGAAAAATATATTTATTTGCATATTTAAGTGAAAAACGTGTCTTAATTAGATCAACGAAATGTGTAACCAAACTATGAGACATTTGATTTTTGCATGTTTAAGAAAAAGCAAATATATTAAACAAAAAAAATGTACCTTTTTATGATAATCCATGATATGTTTGCTTAAAATATGAGAAACGTTGTTCTTGTTTATAAGCACCGTGTTCTTAGAAATGCATGAATTATCCTGACATTTTACTGCACACACAATTTTTACGAAAATATATACAGGCTTATAGTTATAACACATTTACGGTATATTACTCATTTTTTATTTATCAAACATTAATATAATTCACGAAATTTTACAGTTTGTCACAAATCCAAAAAATTGCATTTGCAATATACTTAGATGGGAGCTCACTTATCAATTATAATTTCACAAAGATGCATTAACAGAGAACGACAAACGTACTACAAAAATAATCTTGACTCTTGTAGACCAGCAAGAAACTCTAGTAGTGGGAGTGACTCGAAGATTGAATGATATTAGTTTGCTCGAAAGTCACACAGCGGTGCGTCCTTTCAATTGTGATAGATTCATAGCAATCGTAGCGCACCCTACGAGCAAAGCGCGACATTAGACTTAAGGCTGTGTCCACAATGGCTTCCTTATATAAAACTGGCTCTACATTGAATGTAACGTCCTTTTCTAATACACGTGTTGTCATTACAACACATGCGTTAGAAAAGGATAAAAATATGTAGGTATATCTGGCCACGAGTGTAAATAGGGTTGTAAAATTTCATGAAACTTAGAAAAAATGAAAAGTTTAATGAAATTTTAGAAACATTTCAAAGTTTCAAGATGGCGTTGGAAATAGCGCGAAAATTAAAAAATTTGAATGTTAAGTAGTTATTTATGATACAAGTGCGTAAAGTGAGTGATCACACGAGTATAATCAGATTTACGCACGTGTATTATACAACATTTTTTGCAACACCCACCTCTAAATTTAAGTACCTATTATGAAGAATTCCAACTCTCTATTAGAATAATTTCGATTGTACAGAATTAAATAAATCTATCGAAGATCAGGATAAATATCATTAAGCAGTAGTATATAAATTTAAAAGTAAAGTTCTTTCTTTAATTTTGTGGTTTTGTATGGTATAAAACAATCCTTATATTATGTGAGAAAAATTTCGGTGCGTAAAGAGAATCACTTTACACAACGTTTTATAAAGAGCTTCTTTACACACACTTTTCGGTGTGTAAAATTTAACTTTAGAGGTTAGTGTTGCAAAAATGTTATTTTTTTGATTTATTGTAAAATATGTGAAGGCTTCCCCATGATGATTTTGTGATTCCCTATATAAAATTGGCGCTTTAAAGGTGTAAATAAAATAAAAAAATCAATCATAAAATTAGTTTCTATCGTAGATAATCGCTTGAGGGAACTCTATTGCTGTTTATGCTAAAATATAATTAAATTCTAATTTGATTTTATGAAATATTTCAATTTTTTAAAAAGCTTCCCCATGATGCACAAAACTGGGGACAAGAATTAACATCAAAAGAAAGATTTTAAAAAGTAAATTTTTTTAACAACCTATTTTTTTCTGAATTCTACAAACTTGGACAAAAAAAATGTTACCAATAATAATTTTTATTATTGAATATTGCTAAAAATATTTATTTTTATTTCGTAAATGACACTGGAGAGAGGCTTCCCCATGACGGTTTGGTTCTTTAATTTGCATTTTAAAAATAATATTTAATTTTATAAATTAAAGTGGCTATAGTCTTTTCTTTGTAAACACTAAAGTTACTCTTCACACTGGATTTATTACAATATACAGTACCGTCCAGAAGTATCAGGACGATTACACGCGACTCTCTGAAAAAACATGCCATCACTTTTTCAATCATATTTCTGCAACAAAAGGAGATACAAAAAAAACTCAAAAACGGTTAGAAAGCTTATTAAATTTTGAATAAAATAAGCCATGTTTGAAGCCATTCCGTTAATAATTTTTTGAGTTGTAGAGTGAGAAAGATGGAAAAAATATTACCAAATTTTCTAATTTTGGTCTCTTGACTTCAACATTTTCAAAAATCTAGAAAAATTTAGATAAAATTTTTTTAAAAACATAGAAATCTTCGCTAGAATTTCAGCTTTAAAATAAATTTTAGAAAATTAAAAAATATTAATCCGTCATCGAATTATCATTAAAAATGTGAAGCCGTGTTGCGCCCGATCCATGCTTTGAAAATCAACTGTGACGACTCGATTCCTGCTTCGCGCGGGAGCAAGCGGGAGAGAAAGCAGGGTCGGATTTATGCGGGAACGATGAAGTTTACATTGTATGTAAAGAAAATCGAAATTTCCGGCGAGCAGATCCTTTGGCACAAAAATTCATATCATTAGACACTTTAATTTGTAAGCGTTTTTCATATTTATTTTAAAAAATCATTGACATTTGTAATGTTAACCTTTAATGACGGCTATTGGTCTGAGTTTGATACATTTTTCAGAAATACCAGCAGCATGACATGTATTCACGACATCTGTTACATTCTTATAAGATTCTGGAGCTTCTTCCATTACTAATTTTGGAGATGCTACTCTTATAGAGATTCCTTTAGCTTCCAATTGTCGTAACACGTCTGTGTAATCTATATTACGACGAGATTTTGCCCTTGAAAGTGCTCTTCCCTAAATTGAAATACAAATGTATAGTGAAAATTATCTTTTACCAAATTGCAATATATAAAATAAGACGCTATGTCCATACGTATATGTAACTCTGGATCGCGACGCGACTTACAGTTGATTGTATTTATTCGTTATAAAATAATTAAAATTTGAGTTAATTACTCGAATTAATATACTTTTAAAATACTAATTTGTTTAACTTACAGCTCCATGACAAGTTGAACCAAATGTCTCCAACATTCCTCGTTCTGTACCAGTCAAAACATAACTACACGTTCCCATGGTACCACCAATTAAAACTGGTTGCCCTGTTAACTGATAATCCACAGGGATAAGTGGATGATGTGGAGGGAAGGCTCTTGTTGATCCCTAAAAGTCACAACGATTAACAGTAAAATCTAAAAAAAACGTCTGGATCATTAGATTTTTTAGCGTAATTTTGAATTTATTTTTTCAAAACAAAACTTCGCCAATTTGTTAGATTTTAATTTATTGCGATAAAATATTATGTTATCCTGCATACCTATTACAAATAAATATTATTTAAAATTTTTCTATTAAATGAAATGCATCAATATTGAAAAAAACAAACCATACCTTTCGATGAACTAGAAGTGTTTTCTGTTTACCATTCACTATATGTTCTTCAATTTTTGCAATATTATGAGAAACATCATAAATAACGTGCATATCTAAATCATCTGGAGACATGTTGAATTGTTTTGCGAATGCCTGTAGAATAATAAAATATAAATTGATCCAATATAACGTAATTAATAAACTAAAAATAATAAATGTAACTGAAAGTAACTTAATTTCAAGAACTATAATATTATGATATTAAAACACTAAATTAGGAAACTTATTAATGAGCACTGGAACATCTATTTGGAGTTTAAGGACATTCACGCTTTTATTTTAAAAAAATAAGTGTAATTAGTTTAATTAAAAATTTACAAAATTTTATTGTTATATGCACCATTTGAAAGAGCGGTTTTTAGCACATAATAAATATTTATTGCAAAATTTGTTCCATTAAGTTTAAGTTCTAAAATATATAACTATCCAAAAAATACCCTTTTTTAAAAAGTTTTTTTTAAAATCGCTGAAATTTTCTTATTTTTTAATATTAAAAAAAAAAAATTTCTAATACACGTACCGAAAGTACATCATTTCTTACCTGTGTAGCGGGAGAAAAGTATGTCTTTTCCTCCCGGTATTGTTACTGATGGATTGAAATGAAGAATTTGATTTTGTTTTATAATATAAATTGTTAATACTGACAGGTTATCAATTTACGAAAATTTATCTTATAAACTTTCGACAAAATATTATTAAAGTTTCATTAAAAAATTAATAATTGTGTTCAATGCTTTATTAAATATTTGTACTTTCGGTATACATGTGTTAGAAAAAATAGTATGTGCAACTCGGGAGGAAAATGATTCCCAGCCTAGATGCACAATATACTATTTTGGTCTTGACTTCAGTGACCTCTGGTGACCAAACCGATTCAATAAAAAATATTTTGTTTATTTTTTCTTGAAGCTTTAATAGCCTCTAATTTTAAGAAAAAATAATTGCGTTTCTTTAATGGTGTTCCGCAATGGCAAGCAGTGGTTGTCTTTCAAAAATTGACTCCTCGTAGGTGCATTTAATTTAAAAAGGATTTTTCTCTCAACTCGGATAGAAACGGAAAAATCGAAAAAAATACCAGCAGTTATCCTGCAATGTTGTACTTTCATTTACACACAAGAAATTGAAAATTCAGTACGATAAACGACGTCAGGAAGTAAAATAAGAATTTTTTTATAGCCGTTAGGTGCTGCTCCAGATGGTAAATTTCAGTACATACTAAGCAAATGTTTATACTCTTCCTATTTTACTTCCTGTCCTTTTATATGTGAATAAATCTTTAATTTCTTGGAGGCAAATAAAAGTACACAAACTCAGGATAACTGGTATTTGTTCCGATTTTGCCATTTCTGTCCGAATTGGGAGAATAATATTTTTGAAATTAAATGTACCTCATTTTTAAAAGCTTGAAAAGTGTAATACCACCTTAATTAATATTAAATTAATATTTCTGAAAAACAATTTTAAAAATATAAGAAAATGTGAAAATTTCACACAGTCTTTAGTGAACTATTATAACTGATAGGAACTATTATAACTAACATATTATATGTAATTGAAATACCTGCCGGCTAAGGAACGTCATTGAGCTACGATTGACCCAAGCAAAATTAGCAGCGGCAGCCATTGACTTTAAATAATCTTGTCCTTCTTGAGAATGAATGTGAGCACAAGCAAGTTGACGATCATTTGTTTCAATATTATCTCGCTTCATAGCTTTTTCCATTTGGACAAGAGCATCTTTAAAAAAAATATCTCAATAAGGAATATAGAAATATTCAGTTAAAATTGGAATTAATTATTAAATTTTTTTAAATTCTACTAACAAATAAAACTAGAAAAACTATAATTAAATCTTGTCGAAAGTTTCGAAATGATGTCCAATCAGTTGTGATAAGTATTATTCCAAGGCATTCAGTTTTTATCTGAATCTAAATATATTACGTTCCATCGTTTCCATCGGATTAATTTGAAAAAAAAATATTATTAGGATTCAAAATTCAGCTGCGGAATGAAACGAACTGATTTGGAAAAAAAATTTTATTGAGTTAGATAGAAATTTAGGTTTAGATAGAAACTAATTGGCTTGGAACCAAATTTCGGAGTACCACGGAATAATATTTATCAAAACTGATTAAAACATCAATTCAAAACTTCTGTCAGGGATTATAAAGAATTTTTCCATACGTAAGTAATATTTATATTATTTTTTCAGTAAAAACAGTAAAACTTTCTCCTGTACATGATTTTTAAATATGTTTTTAATAAAGATTTGGATAAAAATTTTACCTGTTGCTACTTGATGACCAAAACCACGACTTCCTGAATGAATCATTACACAAATTTGCCCTTTCTCCTCTATTCCCATTTTACTCGCAGCCCATTTATTGTAGATTTCATCAACAACTTGAATTTCCGCATAATGATTTCCAGCTCCAAGCGTTCCAAGCTGAAAATATTAGGTGCAATATTCCTAGTTTATGAAAAAATACATTTGAGTCAAACCACAAGTCAACTATGTAACAGAAATTTTTTATTGAGTTTTCATAAATTATTTATCATTTTTAATAAATCTTTAAAATCTTGCTTTTTTCCTTTTGAGTGAAAGAAGGATGTAATAACTCCTGTTTATAAGTCCGAAAATAAAAATAACACACAGAATTATAGACCTATAACAATTTTAAGTTCATTTGCTAAAATCTTTGAAAGTATAATATTTGATAATTTTTATGCAGCGGTCTCAGGAATTATAATTGATGAACATCATGGATGTATAAGAGAAAGATTCGCTTTAACTAATCTTGGTGTTTTCTCCACTTTTTTAACTAATAATATCGAAAAAAGTTTTCAAATTGATGCTATGTACGCTGATGTGTCGAAGGCATTTGATAGGGTGGACTTTGTAATACTTCTAAGCAAATGAAAATCATTGGGGATTTCTGACAACATTGTTGCTTTCTTTGAGAGTTATCTTTCTGACAGATATCAAGTAGTTAAAGTTGAAGGTGAATTTAGAGGGTTTTTCTTAGCAACTTCCGGTGTATCTCAGGGATCACGTTTCCTCTGATGTATATTTTGTACATGAATGACATAAACCTATTTTCAGGCACTCTCTTTTCTTATTATATGCTGATGACCTTAAATGTTGTAGAATAATTAACTCCTCTACAGTAAATAAGGACATTGAGTACTTGCAAAATGATCATAACAGATTGCAAGAATCGTGTGTCAAAAATCACTTAAGTATTAATATTAAGAAAACATTTCTTGTTTCATATTCTAAGGGAGGAGTTAATTTCTATAATTATACTATTGATGGTCTGACTTTGGAAAAAGTAAATAGGGTGCGTGATTTAGGTATACTGTTTATACTAGAAATATCAGTTTCAATGACCACGTAACTGATGTTGTCTCAAGGACCTCAAAATCATTGGGGTTTATATTGAGATGTGCTTCGATATTTCGTGGCCTTACAACAATTAAAATATTATACTTAACGCTTGTCAGATCAATCATTGAGTACGCATGTATTGGGAACGGTGGTCTAGTAACAATCTAGTAACTTTGACCCATTCTCTCCCTCCATTTTGTTTTTTCTACTCTTTCTAACCTATTAATTGAAGAGAGACAAAGAAAGAAAATGGAGGGAGAGAATGGGTCCCCACCAGATGGCGTATTGCAGTTTAGCCGATCCCAATAATCTGGTCACCCTTCTGTCTTCCACATAATTAGAATTGAACGTGTACAAAATAAATTTCTTAGATTTGCTGCGAGAATACTAAATATACCTTTTGACTTCCATAACCATGATTATAGGGACTTAAGGTCCATATTGAATATTCCTCCTTTAACATCAAGTTTTTATTTTGCCGATATGTCTTTCTTGTATAGACTTTTAAACGGAGCTATTTATTGCCATTCACTCTTATCTATGGTAAATTTATCGGTTCCTAGAATGTTCTCTAGACGGTACACGTTATTCTCAGTGGTATTCCATAGAACAAACTATGGTAATAATTCTTTAATTGACCGTATTACTAGAGAAGCTAATTTAATCTCTAATGAAGTAAACTTTTTTGATGACAATGCCACAAGATTTACAACATCATTGCGAAACATTGTATTAATTAGAAGCTAATACACAGTTCTATAACAAAGTGTCAACCTAGATTTAAGCTGAACAAATTTATTATTATTAGATTTAGGAGTACGTTTGTACGAAAGGGCATGTCCCGTTATCTCTTTAAATAAATAAATGTAAAAAAATTCATAAAAATCTGTAGTTTACAAAAAAATAAAGAAATTTTAAACTTCTTTTTTTTAATTTTAAATCTTTATTATACATTTTTTAATACTTGTCAATTTTTGTAACATTTATAGAAAAAATTGATTAGTTACTCGAAATTCGTTGACAACAAATTAATGCTAATTTTTCTGAGTAAAAAAATGTTTCAACTGAACTTATTTGTGAAATATAATTAATTTATAATACAAAATTTTATATTTTAATAATTTTTTTAACATTTGAAGTAGATTAAATTCCATCCAAGAAAAGTTACAGATATGTTTCAGTATATCTCGAAGTCTAGAATTATAAATAACACAAATTGTTAAAAAAAATTATTATTATTAAAAATATAAAATTATTAGATTCGAATTTCGAGTTAATAATTTTTTCCCCAAATGTTACAAAAATTGTTTAGTTACAAATATTCAAAATTCAAAAAAAAACTTGAAAATGTTTTTCTGATTTGTTGTAAACTACAAATCTTTATAAATGTTTATACATTAAATTTTAGAATATCAACAAAAATTTGATGTCATAGTTGACGTGGTTTAATTTAACTACCGTAATTACTGTTTTTCTATTATATTAACAACCAATGTAATTGAAATATGTGACGGGCTCTGAAGAAAGGGAACCAATAAGAAAATGAATTATAGAGGTTATGTATAAGATAGTTCTACCTTGATCAAAAGTTTCTTTTTATTTATGAAACATCAAAATCAATTTTTATTGAATATTTTGGATGTAATGAAAACTAAAACATCAATTTTTACATTGAGAATTGATTCTCTTTGTGTATTTTCCCTTCAAAATTTCAAAACATAACCTATAATTGTAATTTTGGACTCTAGTTTGCGACCCAAATGACAGAAATTGTTGAATAGAATGTTTAGTGGTTTTTTAGGGTTTTTGATGTAAGAATAGTGAAACTAGATTTTTTTTGTTTAAACGTTTCGACCCTTGGTTTGGGTCCTCTTCTTACAGAATTACAGAAAATAATAAATTACTGAAGAGGACCCAAACTAAGGGTCGAAACGTTTAACCACTAAACATTCTATTCAACAATAACCTATAATTTTTTTGCTTCGCAGGTCCCTTTCTTCAAAGTACGTGTCATATATAAATATATGATACTTGTTCATACTTGTGGAAGTCCACGTTTTTTAGCTCTCATGGAGACTTTAGATGGATCTGCATTTAACATTCTACCATATTCTTCACAATGTTCCTTATCTTCAGCCCAAATATATCCTGAATTTTTATTTAAATCAGGTCCATTAAAATTATTTCAAAAGAAAAAAAAATGAGATTCAATCCATTATATTTCGCATGAAGTCGTTATATTGACTAAAATTTCAATATTAATGATACATACGAAATGACTCTTTATATTTCTAAAATAAAAAATGTAAACGGTATTACGAAAAAAAATTTATGATTTCTTATAAAATATGAATTTAAAGTAGAGAAAGTGCACAAAAAAAACTAACAGTTTATTAAAAATATTTTAAAACACAGTAAAAATATTTTTCTAAAACATTCAACGATTTCGTGCGAAAAATAATGAATGGGCCAATTATATTTGTATACCTTCTCGTAAAGACCAATCCATTCCCATTTCTAATGCTTCTTCTAAATCGCGAGCATTCATAGGAATAATTCCTTTGGATCCGACGCCAACTGGAATATGATCGAACATACTTTGAGCTAACTGTTCCTGAAAACATAAACATTACCTATGGAATTAAAATTAAAATTTTAAGAATAACTGAGTTAATTTTTATATTTCAGTCTAATGACTGATATTTAATAATTAATTAATTAATAATTTTCAGTTTTTATTTCGCAAGAAGTATATTTTTAGGTATGCTACAGCGAAAATCCAAGGCGGCTCTAATAGCTGACTACTGAATATCTTCTATTTTAATTCTATTATTCATTTGATTTGTAAAATGTATAAAACTATCAAAAACTAATTTTGATTATATAAAGTTACAGAATACATCAATAAGTATGCTTACTTTTACTGGTAAAACATCTTTTTCATATAAATTTGTTCGCAGAAGACGAACGCCACAATTTATATCAAATCCTACACCACCTGGTGATACTACAGATTGAGGATCATTCATATCAAAAGCTGCCATATTGCCTATGAAAGAAACTTATTGTTAATATACTCGCTTGAAATTTTACTCTTTGTTTACATTATTAAATAAATTATTAAAATTATATTAATTTATTTTTCAAAAATTAAAAACTAAAACTGCTACGCACCACACTATTAAAAATCGGACGACAAATTTACACCTAAAAGATTGAAATTATATAATTTCAGTCTCGGAAAGTGCAAGTGTTTAGATTTCATTGGATTAAAGTTTTCATTCAATCCAAAGAAATGCAAGCTTTCGCACTTTTCAAGATTGAAACTATATAATTTCAATCTTTCTTGTGTATATGTCCGATTTCTAACAGCATAAATAGTAAATTATACTTTAAAATGATTCAATAGGTTTCAAAAACATTTTTGTTGTAAAGTGTGCTAGAAAATGTAGTTTATATGACCTGTTTTATAAAGTAAAAATTAACAATTCAATGTAGTTAAACTATTTAACGTAGTAAAATAAAATTATTAAAACTGATACCAATAGCAAAGCCATAGCCTGAATGAACGTCGGGTAATCCAACGGATTTTCCAACGATTCCAGGTAAAGCGGCAACATTGGCAATTTGTTTGACACCAGGTAAAAATCCTCCAATAGCTCCTGGTCTACAAGAGTTACGCAATTCATCGAGCATTAACTTTTCTAAAGTATTATTCACGTAAAACACACCTTCTACCTATAAATAACAAATATTTTAACTAATATAATACATAAATATTTTCTCACTTGTTACATAAAAGTGCATAATATAACTACGACTATTACGATTATTTCCTCTGGTTATGCATTTATCAGTAAGTCAATTTAAAAAGCTGAACTTTTTTCTTTTTAGAATTTAAATTTTGACAAAAAAAAGGCTAATAAATACTTTTATTAACAACCAATTGAAAAATAATTATTTACCTTCATACTCGGCTGAAAACCTATTTTAATTCTCCAACAGTAGTCATTCATTTTTTCCAAATACTTCAATTCCTCGTCATACTTTCTAACGACCATTTTCTGTATGAAAATAGAATATATAATTTAAGAATGATTTAGTTTTTAAGAATAAGATTTTTGTAATTAACATATTTGTAAATAATAGATAATACAATGAACAACTTAGACCTACAGTTATAATTTTAAATTATTTAATTCCATTTCGACAACTTCTGAGTTTATATTATTGGACTGGAATTTAAGAAAACGTTAACAAATTAAGGGTAGGAACCGGTGAATTTCAACTCATCGAAATTAATGTTGTTAAGGGGTGTCAATTTTTTTTGACCATTTTAGAAATTTTATTTTTTGAAAATATTAAAATTTTTAAAAATCCATACGATTGATTGTTCAAAATCATGAAAAAAGCCTACAAAAAAATTACTGACAAAAAATAATAAAAAATGTAGAACCAAACTTAATTGGTTTGGTTTAATGAGCCAAAAGTTTTGAACGTTTAAATGAACAAAATATTTTTTTCAATCTATAAATTATTAAAAATTATAATGTCAATATTAAATAAAGCAGTAAATTAATGACTTCTTTTTAGATATTTAAAACAATATTTTGTAATAAAATTCGTACTTAAAGAAGTTGCAAAAAAATTTTGTTCATTTGAACGTTCAAAACTTTTGGCTCATTTGGTTTAGGGGTAACAATATTTTATACAAATAATAAAAATTGCAAGAGAAGTTTTTTGAAGTTTAAGGGGAGGCACTACCCCCAATTTTGACCCACTTAAATTTAAATTATTAAATGAGGTTATATTTTTTTTCTTGCATCATTTGGGTCCTAAAAACATATAAGGTGGTCAAAAAAAGAAAATTTTAATTTTTGACCATTTTAGAATTTTTATTTTTTGAAAAAATTAATATTTTTGAAAATCCATGCGAGAGATTCTGACAAATCATTAAAAAAGTGTGGAAAAAATTTGACGATGAAAAATACTTAAAATTGTGAAAGAAGATACATATTTAATAGGAGAGTGCAATGATGTTTTAACTTATATTTTTCGCTCTTTTTTTGAAAAAATTAAAATTTTTGAAAATCCATGCGAGAGATTCTTAAGAATCATTAAAAAAAGCGTGAAAAAAAATTGGCGATGAAAAATAGTCAAAATTGTAAAAAAAGATAGATATTTAAAATATTAATTTTTTTAAGACTTTAATTTCTAAAATGGTCATAAATTAAAATTTCATTTTTTGGACCATCTTGTATGTTTTAAGACCCAAATGATGCAAGAAAAAAATAGAACTTCGTTTAATAAAGTAAATTAAAGTGGGTCAAAATTGGGGGTGATGCCTGCCCTTAAAAAACAAGTAGTTTTATAAAACTGAAGTTGGTTTTCTCAATATCGTTTTTTTGGTTTGAATTAAAATTTTAGTTGATAAATTAATTTAAGAGAAAGCCAACTTCAGTTTTATAAAACTACTGGTTTTTTAACCTTCAAATTTGTTTTTGAAAGTGGATTTTTTAAAGTGAATAAAAATAAAAAGTATCACCAAATTTTGATAAGATGACTAAAAAAGATTTAACTTAAATTTTAAATCCAAAATAGGACTCTTTCATTTATCGCCTGAGGATATATAAATGTTCAAAATCAGATGAAATTCTGAAAAGTTCCAACATTCAACGTAAAATTTTTCATATTTCTACATTATAAAATTAAAAAGCCAACATATCATGTGCAAATATATGGAAAGTACTTATTGTTAGGTAGTAATAAATTTTATAATATTTATAAACTTTCTTGGAAAATATAAATAAAATGTGACAAATTTTGACATTTTACAGGTAAGTTTGAATATTAATTTTCACGTAGTATTTTGGCTTTTTTTACACAATTATCGACTAATATTGGTAAATTAAACTATTTTGAACAAATATCAATGAAAAAAATGTACTAACTAAATTATTTCTGTTCTTTTTTATTAAATTTTTAAAGCTGTCAAACTAACCTATTTATTTCCGTGCAACTTAACTTAAAAACTAAATTCCAACGTAAATAAAAAAAAATTTAATAAAATAATTGTTAAAAGTGAATTGTACGGATATTAAAAGTCATTATTACGAAATATCAGATTTTTCTAAAAATAGTCCGCAACGACTATAGGTCAAATAAAATGGAATGACCCTGAAATTTTTTTTTTTGAGTTTCACACCCTGAAAATAAATTAAAAATGCCGCTTTTTTATTTTTAATTGTAAATTATAAAATTTTGAAGGAGATGAAACATTTTAGGAAACAGATTTTTATTCAGCATATTCAAAACTATTTCTGTTCATGTGGTAAATAAGTCACGTTTTTTATTGCTCAAAGTTTTTATAGACATTTTTCCGGCCGGCAGAAGAAAGTGCCCTTAAGATGACAATATAACCTCACTTTAGTAATACAGTTAGAGCTAAAATGTCGCAGTGTATGTTGTTGTTTAACAATAATTGATATAAAATATTATGCTCATTAATTTTTCATTATTTATACGTAAAGTAAATTATTAGAAAAACAATCTTTTCTTGACAATTCAAAACTTTAAAAACGTATTAAAACAAATAAAGGTATATATTTTTTTAATAGAGTATCAATGTTATAAATATTCATAATAACTTTTTATACAAACTAACTGAAAGAAAAGCATTCTTACCTTACGATTAAATTGAAAAATTTGTTAACTGAAACTATTTTGGCACTTATAATTATATATGTATATACATATACATACTTTGTAACCTCTGTGTTTATAAGATTCGAAAATCTATAAACAATAACAAAAGTCATAAACAACCAGGTGAACAAAGATTGGTTATATTATAGAAAATAAGAAACTAAGGGTCCATTCACATGTATGCAGAATGTAAAGGCGCATTCAGACCTCTCGGCTGCCTGCCTGCCTGTTGTAGTTACCATGGTAACATGATAAGAGTGAGTGAAGCAGAAAATTTAAATTTTTCGTCTGTTTCACTCACTCCCATTATGTTACCATGGCAACTGCAGCAGGCAGGCAGGCAGCCGAGAGGTCTGAATGCGCCTTAACGCTGCGCTGTTAACAACCACCAGAGTTGGGAAACTTGATAAGGGAAAAAATTGACTGGTTTAAAAAGGGCAAATAATGAAGCGGTCACACCTCGGCTGCAGGAGCAGTTGCCCATGGCAACCGTGTAAGAGTAAGAGAGATAGAAGATTTTCCATCTCTCTTACTCTTACACGGTTGCCATCGGCAACTGCTCCTGCAGGCGAGGTGTGACCGCTCCATAAGAATAAAAGTATATATGTATAGTATATGTATAAGAATATGTTTATGTGTATGTTTGTGTATATGTATATTTGTGAGTTAGTATGAAATTTGATGAAAGGAGTATGTGTATATGTATGTAAATATATATACAGGGTGTTCCAAAAGTATGGAAACTTGCAAATATCTCGAAAAGTACGAATTTTCGTAAAAAATGTTCAATACAAAAGTTGTTCCAAACAAAAAGATCTACATTGTTGAAACCAAAAAATTGGGCCCCGGGCCCAATGTTGGGCCCTACAATGAAAAAAGTAGTTTTCTTAAATGAGACCACCAATTTTGAATATCAAATTCGTAATCCCCATGAAATTATGCGTTCAGACATGTGGTATAAGTGCCCAAAATATTGGGCCCAATCCAAGATATCGGGCCCAACATTTTCGACAAAGAAAAAATTTAAAAAATCGTATCTTTGGGGGTTTTTGGGGTCACAGGATTACAAAATTCAAAGCTACTTTTCAAATTGGGCACAGAGCCTAATGTAGGATTCCGCGGCCCAATGTAAGGCCCACAGTAAAAAAATAAGTCTAAATGCCAAAAATATTGGGCCCAATATTTTTGGCATTTGTACTACAAAACTAAATCCAAAATTTCATGACGATTATGAAATGGATACTAAAAATTAGTTGGTTTTATTTTAGACAACTAATTTTTTTACTGTGGGCCTTACATTGGGCCGCGGAATCCTACATTGGGCTCTGTGCCCAATTTGAAAAGTAGCTTTGAATTTTGTAATCTTGTGAACCCAAAAACCCCCAAAGATACAATTTTTTTAATTTATTTCTTTGTCAACAAATTTTGGGCCCAATCCTAGACATTGGGCCCAATATTTTTGGCATTTGTACTACAAAACTAAATCCAGAATTTCATGACGATTACGAAATGGATACTAAAAATTAGTGGGTTTTATTTTAGACAACTAATTTTTTTACTGTGGGCCTTACATTGGGCCGCAGAATCCTACATTGGGCTCTGTGCCCAATTTGAAAAGTAGCTTTGAATTTTGTAATCCTGTGACCCTAAAAACCCCCAAGGATAGGATTTTTTAAATTTATTTCGGATATACTTCCGAAGTAGGGGTACCTCCGATTTTAATAAAACTTGGTATACTAACGTATTTTGGTGCGCTGATTACGAAAATGATAGTGAAAATTGGCGCAAATTTGATTATCATGGTAAAAACCATAAAAAACACCATAAAATAATGGTTTTTTACGATTATCTCGTAAAAAACAAAAAATTTCGAAAAAAGTTTTAGACATAAGTTGTAGATCTCAAAAAAACACACATTTTATGTTTTATGCATTTTTTACCAAAAGTCATTATTTTTCGAGAAAAATGGTCCGAAAGTAATTTGCGGAAATTGTGGGATGGAGTCTACAGCAGCGGTAAATGCAAAATAGTAAACACGGCCTTCGGCCGCGTAAGGTACTGCTCGCTTCTCTTTTTAAGAAATCTTGGCGAGAGGGGGTGGATGTGTCCGAAAGTAATTTGCGGAAATTGTGGGGTGGAGTCCACAGCAGCGGTAAACGCAAAATAGTAAACACGGCCTTCGGCCGGGTAAGGTACTGCTCGCTTTTCTTTTTAAAAAAAACCTTGGCGAGAGGGGGTAGATATGGCCGAAAGTATTTTGCGGAATTCGTTAGATCCTGACTAATGGTGAATATGATACTATATACGAGTCAAATAATATGTCTAACAATGACTGCTGTATATGTTTTCATTATCATGGTGTTTTTCGTTTTTTGGATTTTTCTCGAAAAATAATGACTTTTGGTAAAAAATGCATAAAACATAAAATGTGTATTTTTTTGAGATCTACAACTTTTGTCTAAAACTTTTTTCGAAATTTTTTGTTTTTTACGAGATAATCGTAAAAAACCATTATTTTATGGTGTTTTTTATGGTTTTTACCATGATAATCAAATTTGCGCCAATTTTCACTATCATTTTCGTAATCAGCGCACCAAAATACGTTAGTATACCAAGTTTCATTAAGATCGGAGGTACCCCTACTTCGGAAGTACACCCTTAATTCCTCTCAACAAGTTAATCCTTACGGATTTTAATGAGATTCGGAATCAATCAATAAAACTATAGTGAAGTTAAAGAATCGGTATAAACAATAAAAACTAAGTGAACTATTTAAAATGTTTATACTAATTATGTTGTGAAAATACCTTTAAACCAACCGTTGGTTGTTCCAGCACAACTTCATCTGCAAAATCTTAAGGCGTGTACCATTGGGGTAAAAGAGACAAAAGATATTTCCATATCTTTTACTCCAATGGTACACGACGCAAGTATACTCGGGATCGGTGAGGTATACAAGCGCTTTTATTCCTGACCATTTATTTTTTGTGTTCAGCGAGATTGTAGACGGACCATTATATAGTTTTATATTCACGACGGAAACATACTCGGGATCGGGAAGGTGTACAAGCGCCTTTATCTTTTATCTTCAAAAAAATTTTTTTAACAGTTCCCAACCCTGGTATTCTGCGCCTTGTGAAATATCGTCTGCTCTAGTACTAATCTATTACATTTTGTAAACATTAGTTTGGCTGCCTGTAGGATGTCAAAAAGTTATTAATGCATTGAGATAGGTTAATAATTGCATAAATACATCAAAGAATAATGGATACCGTTCCAAAGGAACTCAGAGGTTTGAGGGCATGCTTGGTTTGCTCTCTTATAAAGGTACACATATATGTCTAAGCATAGGCTAAATAAATTTTTTATTTAAAACAAAAACAATAAAATTCAATTTTTTTTGTAAAATATAACAATTTTAATAGGTGTCACTGTCCCTGTAAATTTTTCGTTCTAAATTACATAATAAATGTGTATAACTTTATAATTATTATTTATAGTTAAAATACTTTAATTATTATGCAAGATTTAATGGGAGAGACCGGTAAAATTTTTACTGTCATTATTTAAGATCTAAATTATAAAAAATTTTAAAAAAAAATTATTTTTGATCATTTTAGAAGTTTTAATTTTTGCAAAAAATTGAAATTTTTTAAAATCTATACGATTGATCATTAAAAAAAGGTTATTAAAAATCAGGAATGAAAAATAATAGAAATTATGAGAGAAGTTTCAAATTTTTATTTTTCGTGAATTTCAAGTTTTATTTTAAAAATTGATACCCTCTAAAAATAAAATTATTTTTTTATAAGTACTTATTTCTATGGAAATATTTATTTATACTTATATATTAATGTACCGTAAAATGGGGTAAAGTCGGCGTTTGCGGGTAAAGTCGGCCGGCGCTTTAAACACTTAAATATTGTATTTCATTTATTAATTTACATTAATTCTAACTACATTTTTAATAAAACTCGGATTTCTTCTGGAAAAAAGTAATAGTTAAACTTTAAAATGATTTAAAGCGCCGGTCGACTTTACCCCATTTTACAGTATTTATTAATTTAAGAATAAAAAATATTAATAATTAATTATTTTTATAATAGTTGGTAAATAATAAAATTAATTAATCATATAACAATAACGAAAACAGTTGAATTGGTTGATGCAAAAACAACATAAGTCCACAAATAAAAGTTGTCCAGGAATCAATAAAAACTGCTTTTCTTATAAATATAAGAAAAACAATTTTTATTGATTCAGTTCTTTTTTTGCACAACTTTCTATTAAGTTTAAAAATTAGGTACCTATATGACTGAGCTATTTTTTATTAAAATAAGATGTTATATGATGTTTTTGCACCAAATGAAGTGTCAGGGTGTCTAACGGTCAGGGAAAAGTCAGGGAATTTTTTTTATGAATAAATTAAAGTAATTATTAGTTTAAAATTTTTTTTAATTTTTTCTCAAAGCAAATGCAAATTAAAAAGTTGGCCTTCATACTTAATTATTAGGCATGTGATATATCTTATATTCATTAAGTAAATAATTATTTACTGAGTCATTCCATTATATTTCGAACAATGTCGTTGCCGACTAATTTTTAAAAATTATGATACTTTGCAGGGATGATCTTGAAGTTATAAAGATCACGAAATGAAAAGATTTTTACTAAAATTTTTATTATTTACTTTAAAATATGAATTTAAAGTGTACAAGGTGCTGAAAATTGACATTTTTTCAGATAGCAGAAAATATTCGAAAAAACCTATAATTTACCATAAAAGTGTGAAAATTATTATTGCAATTTATTAAGAATGACTAAATTTACTTTTATAAATTGATTTAAGCATTTAAAGATATGAAATAATAGGAAAAACATGATTTTCAATTTCATCTTAAAAATAACCTAATTTTGCTATTTTTATCGATTAATTATGAGAAAGGGTAAATATTAAATTAAAAAAAAACTTACCAAATATCAAGTCATTGCTATTAATTTTCAGATTTTCTTTGTACTTTTTAATTTTTCTCTTTATTTATATAAAAATTTTGAGAAAGAAAATTGCCACTTTGCTAATTTTTGCGATTTTTGAAACTGAATAACTTGTTTACAGTAAAACGGAAAAATCTGGGATTTTGGGAGTATTTAAATATACACTAAATAAACATACTCCAAAAGTCTTGCGTTGGTTTTTGAGCTATTTTGTAAGATAAAGCGGATCGAAATTTCATTACTTTTGAGGCTATATTGACAATAATTTGTTCTTAACTTGAAGTTGGCTCGCAAGTGTTGTCATTTAATATAAACAAATATGAATTTATTACAAGACACGACACTTGCGAGCCAACTTCAAGTTAAGAACAAATTATTGTCAATATAGCCTCAAAAGTAATGAAATTTCGATCTGCTTTATCTTACAAAATAGCTCAAAAACCAACGCAAGACTTTTGGAGTGTGTTTATTTAGTGTATATTTAAATACTCCCAAAATCCCAGATTTTTCCGTTTTACTGTAAACAAGTTATTCAGTTTCAAAAATCGCAAAAATTAGCAAAGTGGCAATTTTCTTTCTCAAAATTTTTATATAAATAAAGAGAAAAATTAAAAAGTACAAAGAAAATCTGAAAGTTAATAGCAATGACTTGATATTTGGTAAGTTTTTTTTTAATTTAATATTTACCCTTTCTCATAATTAATCGATAAAAATAGCAAAATTAGGTTATTTTTAAGATGAAATTGAAAATCATGTTTTTCCTATTATTTCATATCTTTAAATGCTTAAATCAATTTATAAAAGTAAATTTAGTCATTCTTAATAAATTGCAATAATAATTTTCACACTTTTATGGTAAATTATAGGTTTTTTCGAATATTTTCTGCTATCTGAAAAAATGTCAATTTTCAGCACCTCGTACACTTTAAATTCATATTTTAAAGTAAATAATAAAAATTTTAGTAAAAATCTTTTCATTTCGTGATCTTTATAACTTCAAGATCATTCCTGCAAAGTATCATAATTTTTAAAAATTAGTCGGCAACGACATTGTTCGAAATATAATGGAATGACTCTACTATTTATTGAATCTAATAAATGATTTTTTAAACTTGGAACAATTAATTAAATTTTTTTAGTGAAATATTTGGTTTTTAATATAAATAAAAATTATTTGATATAAGTTTATTTTATCGGTTCAACTTCAAATAAAGTAAATTTATTCATTAATACGAATAATTTATTACACAGCCACACAAAAAAAAAAGTTTTTATCTGGGGGTCTGACTATGCCTACTTTATGTTTTTTGGGTCGCTGAATCCGAATTCGAGGTCCGTTTTACCCCATCAGATCAGAATTTTGAGATAACCTCAAAAAACCAATATGGCGGACACTTTTTCGAAAAATTCGTCGGATTTGCGTGAAACTCGTTACTCGAGGATTTTTGGGGTCGCTGATCACGAATCTAAAGTCAGTTTTTCAAAATTCAAAATGGCGGATCCAAAATGGCTGACACATTTTTGAAAAATTCATCGGATTTCTTTGAAACTCGTTATTCGGGGGTTTTTGGAATCGCTGATCACGAATCTGATGTCAGTTTTTAAAATTTCAAAATGGCGGACACTTTTTCGAAAAATTCATTCAATTCAATACCGGCATTACCGGCGGCCCAGTACCGGCGCGGTACCAAGCTGGCAGAATTGCCGGCACCGGCTGGATACTTAAAGTCCGCCGTTGGTATCATGCCGGTTGTAGATTTCTGCCTGGGGAAGGCCAAATATTTTGACTTATTCTGAAAGTTGATAAAGTTTCAAACAAAATAAAAAAATCCATTAAGAATTCTTTTTTAGAGTTTTTTAAAAATATATTTTATTGTTTTTTAAATTATTTATTTATAAAATTGCTGGCCGTTGCGGTGTCTTTTTCTGAAAATGTGTTCAAAACCTAATGTCTTGAAGAAAATAACGAAAATTAGTTGAACGAAAATAAAGTTCAATAAATGCAGAATAGAGGAAAATTATAGAAAAACATAGTTAGAATTTTTTATGACCTAAAATCAATGTTTGAAGTCACAAACATCGAAAAAATTATAAATTTTAGCCTGTAAATCAGAAAATGACCCAAATTAAGGGTAAAACTCGTGAAAAAAATATTTTCATTTAGCACTATTAAAGATCCCAATTGTTAATAACTTTAACAAGAAATTTGGCTCGGTGTAATTTTGTCCTCTACATATTTTTCTAATTATGTTCCAGACATTTGACCAATTTGAGTTAGATGGTTGTGATAACTGTGATGAATTTTTAAGGATGAAAAATAATAAGGATAACGTATTGGATTGCACTAGTGCAAACTTTGATGGGTGGGTATTTTTTCCTTCTTAGTAAATGTTAGAATAATTATTTGATTTGAAATACCGATATCGTAACTTATTATTGATATACTCTTATATTATTAGCCTATTGCATTTAACAAGAGTTTTTATTAAAATGTCTGTGAAACTTAATCATCCAATACGTCTACGGACCAACTTACATCAGAAGTAATCACATTTGTTTGGATTAAGAATTTGAAACAATTAAAATAAAAATACATATGTGACACTTTTCGGAGAAAGGGACCTTAGCTGCAAAAATTTTAGGTTATTTTTAGCCCGTCTAAAAGCGAATTGCTACTGCTTTCTTTTATTTTTATTCGTGTAGTAAAAACTGCAGAATACCACCAAAAGTTTTTAAATCTCCGTTACCAATATGTAATTAGTATATTTTCAGCCGAATTTTTAACAGATCTCAGAAACATTTCCACAATTGAATCTAATTTTTTCTTCTCTGCTGAAACTTCTTGGTTTGAGAAGTACTATTTTTTATGTTCTTCAAATTTATCATTTAATGTTCTTCTAGCGCACATGCTTGACAGTACGCACTTTTTACAATAAGGTCCACTATACATTATTTTTGGGTTTTCCATTTTCTACATTTTTTTCTGGATCTACTTTAATAGCTTTCTCACAGACACTTTCGAACATCGAATTCGACGCTGAGTAAAGATATGCTTTACTATTTTGTCGTACGTTGATTTCACCAAACCTTGACACATATCCATAAGAGCACAAAACTAATTTATGCTTTCTCGTTCAACACCAAGAAATTTCATAGCAAACACGATTCGCCTGTTTATTTTGTAACTGGTATTAATTAACTGTCCTGAATTAATTTCTTTTTGACCACCTAAACCCCAACGCCCGCTTTCTGCAAATGTTATGCTTTGTTTGCACAATCTACAGATTACTATATCAGCAATTGCATGAAAAACTGTCAGAAACTCAACGATTTGAAAGCCTTGTAGATCCAAGAATGTTTGAAAATCACATTCGAGTCTTTCATTTGTATGCATTTTTTTACCATTTCCCTCAATTTCATAGGTATCGAAGTACCAGGGGGCTAGCTTTGATTTTTTGGGTCTGGGTTGTCGCATATGTAATTAATTTTAGTTTTTCAATTAAAATAGGTGAATGTAAAAAATTCTTTCTAAAATTTTTAATGTAATTTTCTTTCAATTTTCAGAATGATTGCTTCTATGAGCCCCGAGGATGGCTGGGTTTCTAAGTGGCAAAGAATTAGTGCGTAAAAGAAAAGTCATTTAAAAAGAGTTGCTTTTTAATCTTTTCTGAAACTTAGTTTCTACAGACAATTGTATTTATATCTATTTATATAGTCATAGAAAGTAGTGAATATGTTTCTAATAATTACTTAAATTTTTAGATCGGTTTTGTAAAGGCGTCTACGCTATTTCGGTCTCAGGACGTTTACCAACAGGAGTAGTGCGAGAAATGAAAAGTAGAGGAATTGTTTATAGATCACGAGACACAAGTCAGCGTTAATATAGAATAAGATTCTATAAAAATAAAGTTCCACTTTATGGATTTTTTTTATAACATTTGCAAAATGTTAAACAGTTCTTTATATTTCATTCTTCTATAATTTATATTAAGAAATTTCATTTGATTGTTTAAATTTATAATAAAAAATTTATATATACCTATAAATAATGAAATACTGTACCGGAATAATGATCTATAGTACAAATCTTAACGAAAGTAATAATATTGTGGAAACATGTGTAAAACTTTTGTCTATCTTAAAAGATTGTATACACGGAAAGAAATAGATGGTACGGGGTACTATTTAGATAGTACCAGGTACCATATTTGATCTTACATATACGGACAGCTATCTAGATTCTATCAATTACTATCCAGATTGTACGGAGTAATATCTAGATTGTAGTGGGTAATATAACCATACTTTTTGTAACATCTTTGATAGTACCGAATAGCATAATGATGGTACCGGATAACATCTACTTTTTACCATCTTAAGATCATAAGTTCTTACCATCTATTTCTCTCCGTGTAATGAAATCATTTATAATATTTACATTTATTACTGGCATTGCGATAAATTTTACACCAAAAACAATCATTCTAATTTAATTAACAGTTTCAATTTAAATATCTTGTAAAATTGCTTAATTATGCCACAGATCGTTAATCTGGTGCACTATTCAACTGGTGTTTATTAATAATTATAATGATTCCTAACCTTTTTAAATAATTCTTTAATGTTTGCACGCGTGCTGAATAATGCGCAATGCGTACCCATACTGCAAATTCATCCTCATGAATTCGCACTCGTGATGGTTGCGTGCATGATAAAACTATTGGAAATTAATGTTCTGTAAGATATTTCACGATGACTAAGAAATATATCAGAGTTTAATACCAGCTTCATTTTTTTGGACATCTTTTGGACCAGACATAGAATCTCTTATGGACGTCTTTTAGTTGCCTTTATAATATCTCAGAGACTTTATTATCATTGTCTCCGGATGTCAACAGACAAGATGAGACGTTTTAAAGACGTCACTTTGCCCACTATAATAATTTTTTTTTAATTTTGAAAAGTTTTTTTCTTCTAATTCTGTAAAAAAAATAGAACATTTTTTTCTCCTAGTAATTTCCTTGAAGGTAATAAAATATGCTTTCGGGTACACTTTACTAAATTTATATGTTCTTCAAAAATTACATTAGTTTAAAATTTACAAGAAAATAAATATTTTTAGTTTTTGTTTCCACTGACCTATTAAAAAATTAAAAAATAAATTTCTTTTTTATATAAAGTTCAAGCCCAAAGTTTACGCTTTAAAATGAATATTTCTTGACCCTTCGTATTTTAGAAAAAAGTGAGAATTAAAATGAAAATATAAAACTTTTTGTAATGCTTTTGATTGCTGTAAGATGGGGATATCCTATTGTACGTAAACTATAATTTATGTAATTCCAATTTCCATCTTTAAATTATTTTAAAGGTAATTAAAAACGATATAAAAATATAAACCATCATTATGATTTCAATTGTTAATGCAGAATTCTATTTTATATTTATAAATGTTTAAGCGCAAGCGCGTTAAGTAAAACTGACATTTTTGTGGCTTTACGTAGGAAACTTAAGTATACTCCCGCCCACCACCTTGCACTAGCTTTAGTAATCAATGAAACGTCAGAGGGTAGTATTGCATTATTGCATTCTACAGAATGCATAAGAGCACAATTTATGTAAATGTTTTTCATTAATTTTTTCTATTAAATGAATTTATTATAGAAACAGCTTTCCAAGTGTTTTTATTGCTCTAATTTTAAATTTTAAATGAAGTTATGTATCACAAGGACGTTATAGAATTATTGTTTATCAAGTGAGTGAGTGAATTATTGGAACAATCATAACAAACAAAACATATTATTTTTCAAGACACAATTATCAAAAATTAGTTTTTTTAAATTAAATCTAACTTTGTATATTTTAACATCTATTTATATAATCTAGTTTTATAGATTTGACATTATTGAAATAGATAAAAAAAATTTATTGTAGTAAAAATGTTATTTATATAAATCCACATTTATATTAAAATTTTTTAAACATTATTTTTCGACCATCAACGTTTGGCCTCCTCAGATTTACATACTAAAAATTAATTATTACTTTTGTGATATATATTATTATTTCTAATTATATGTTTCAAATTAAACATGAGCTAATTCTTAAATAAAAATATTAAATAATTTTTACATGTAAGGTGTTCTTTATTTAAAGTTAATTTTTGGAAGATGGAAACATTAATATTTATATTAACATGTCGTTGTAAAAATTGTAAACAGTAATAAGATTTATGTTATATATATATATATATATTGAATACAAATGTTGACAAATAAACTAAAGTAAACCACATTTACAGGAGATGGTGAAAATAAATAATTATTATGAGAATAATCAAAACAACGTGATACGTACAGATTAAGAAAAATAAAGATGAGTAATCAAGTTAAATTTTTATCTTTAAAAGTAGTAAGTGTTTTTGGAAACCTCGATTGTTTGACTATTTAAAAAATGGGGAGTGGAGAAGTTAGCGAAGTTTCAACGATATTTCATCCAAGGAGATCAAGAAGGCCTAGTATAGTTCTGAGCGACGATCAACCTAATCACCCTTATACCAGTCCTGCTCAAATTCTTTTAGATTCTTCAGGTACCTGTTATATTTGTAATTAATAAAAATTGTAATTTAATATAATAATATAAAAGCCTAAGAGGAAAAAAATTTATTTTTTCGACAATCCATTTGCAATAATTGTTTATTATTTGTATTGGAAATTTGAAACTTTTTATAATATAATTTGTAAAGTTATTTATTTTTCGTTTTGCAATCGTGTTTTTGCATGGATACGGACAATTTTTCGAATTTAGAAAATTTATAGGATAAGGATCCTTGAAAGTATCAGTTTTTTGAAACTGACAAATTGAATTTGATCTTGTACTTTTCTACTAACATACCTTTTGTAAGTTTAATGCAATTAATAATTTCTTCAACTTCACAACGATTCCATCCTGTTATATCAATGCCTTTTTATTATATTAAACATTTGATTAAAGGAGCAACTAAGGAACTCCTCCCTCCGATTTAGATGCTTACGTAGTACTTGAATGACCCCTATTTTTATATTGTTTGTTATTTCTTTTCATTTTAGTAAAGTCAGTATTGTATTTATCAAAAAGGAAAAAATTTGACACGATAATTTTGACGACAGTACAATTTAGGTGGATTGTCACTACAATAAATTATTAAATCCATAAAAAGGCCTTGTAAAATTTTATTTTAATCAACATTAATGAAACGGATGTTAAATAAACAAACAAAAATATTTACTGTTTCAGGAACTGAGCAGCAAAATTTCAAATTAAATAGTGGATGTGGAGAACCAGGAATAGGGTGCAGATCTCATGATTGTGATAGTAATGTTTGTAGTGGGGTAGGTGGTGGTAACATAGCAGGGGGAATTCAAAGGCAATGTCAAGTACAAGGACAACTTTGTCCACCGGTCTCCTATCGTCAACGGCATCGTTTTTCATTAACTAATTGCTATACATCATGTTGTGCTGAATCTGCAAAAAAAGTACTTAAGAACGTACCATAACTTTCTTCTATAGTTAAAATAAATAATTGCATAAGCAAACGTTCTTTCTCTATACAGATATATTTTGGAGTCTGCGTTACGATATGCGTTACTGCAAGCTGGGTTGGAGCAACTCATTGTATAAAATACCTATATTTTTATAAGCCCGAAATTATCAAACAGACTGTGACAGCAAATTCTTCTCTGACAGGACCTCACCATGAACATGTCAGGCATAATTATTATTTATCGTTTAATTATTAAAAATCAATAAATATATTTTACAAATTAAAAAAATTATTTCAATTGCAGCTAGTTCTTCAATACAATGCTCCTTTTTTTACAACATGGTTTTGCACTAATTGGGCAGTTCTCTATTTTCCAATTTATCTTTTATGTCAAGCAAGTGCAAAAAAATGTTCAAATCCTTCTGAAATTATTGCTGAAAGTCTTCGAGGTTTTCGAGATAAAGGTTTTACCGGAGGAAGATTTTTAACCAGATGTAGCTTGTTTTGTGGACTGTGGGTGGCAACTAATTACATGTATATCCATTCCCTGCGGATTCTATTTGCTACAGATGTAATGGCACTTTTTGCTACAAATGTAGCTTGTGTTTATCTCTTATCTTGGGTTATACTTCATGAACAATTTGTTGGAGTAAGAGTAAGTATCAATTATTATAAGAAATTTATAATAGAGAAGATATTGATACTTTTGTTTTAAAAGTAACTGATCCATTTTAGTCGATATAAATATGATACGGAGACAGCAAACATTTATCTAACATAAAAAAATTGATGATCAATTTTATGCAGTAAAAGGGATGGAAAAACATTTATTTTTTACTTTCTGTAATTTATTTTCTTAATACTTGACTTGTATTGTCTACAGCATTGTGTAATTTATAATATTTATATCAATTTTTCAACAGATTGTAGCAGTAATTCTTTGTGATACAGGAATAGCTCTTTTAGCATATATGGATGGAATAACAGGAAGTCCAACCCTTTCTGGCGTCGTACTTGCCGCTGCAGCTGCTGCTGGATCAGCAGTTTATAAAGTAGGTCTTTTTTTCTAACTGAAAAGTCCTTCGGTTTAAGTATTCCAGGCATATTCATTTTTAATATTTAAAAACAACCAATAAAAATTAAATGGCCATTTACAAACACTGCAGTAAGAGACTATTACTATTCGAAAAAAGTGCAAAAGCAGACAAAAATAATTGACTTTTTATAATAAGTCTAGAATCTAAATATTTGACGTTTTTATTTTAATAATTTCACTTGATCTTTTTTCCAATTTAAATGACAAGAATATGACATGAATTAACAAATTTAATTTGTATTACAAGAGTATGTAATTTATAAAAAAATTTTCAGACAATAGGTCAGTCATATTTTTAATTTATATTGTGAACTCTGCAGATAAAATCTGAATTCAAACGCTGCAAAAAAAAGAATTCTATACGAGCAGAAATTATTCGAGGAAACAGTCTAATGCGATATTCATTTACGAAACCGAATTCATTAAATGCCTTTCCTCAATGCAAAACGCCAATGCTAAATTAATTTTTCTTTACTGGGGATTTATTTGAAATTTGAAAATATCTAAGACCAACAAAGAGTAATTAATGTCAATTTAATTAATAAATTTTTTTTTTAGGTATTATTCAAAAAAGTAATAGGTGAAACGACATTTGGTCAAGTTTCGCTGTTTTTCTCGATAATTGGTTTATGCAATGCCGCATTACTTTGGCCAGTTTGTTTGGCACTCTACTTCTCTGGAGCAGAAACAATTCATTGGGGAAAATTACCATGGTCTTCGTTACTTGCGGCCAGTATTCTCCATTTAAGTAAGTAATCCTCTAGTATTATCTGCAGTTACAAATTGGTGCTTTGCAATATTATTTAAGATATATTAATAAAAATACTTATAATTACATGTTATAGCCTGATTTGTAATAAAATAAATAGTAAATATTATTATATTTGATTCCAAGGTAAACTGTAAAAAGTTTTCAAGAAATATCTGGTGCTGTGTTAGCTAATATTTTTATTTATATTAAATAATAATTTTTTCACCATCACGTATTATGATAATGTATCTCCGGAATACTCATCGATCAATTAACATTCTGTTCTTATTATTCTATCCCAAATTAATAAATTCTCCAAAAAGTCTTGACATCTGATTTGACTCAGCGCCAGAAACAGAAATAAATATAAGGAAGCATTTTCAACCAAATAATAAATTTTATAATTAGAAAATAATCATTTATTGTTTACATATATCTACAATCAAAAATAATTGTTTGTTCTTACAGTTTCTAACATGTTGGGAAATTTCAGTATAGCGCTAACATATGATCTATTCATTACACTTGGTTTAATAACAGCTATTCCTGTTTCTGCCGGTAAGTCCTAACAGTATAATATATTATTTGTAATAAGAAAGGGTTTATTACTTTATAAGCAAACATGCATAAAATAAGTTCGGGAGCGATGAAACACCTTTTTTAAACTGTAGCAAATTCTAAAGAAGTTATCAAAAAGTTACTAGCCAACTACTATAACCACAATTGGATTTGTTTTCTTTTTAATAAAATTAAATAGTTTTATTATTTATAATTATTAACTACTTATATCTATAACTTTGTTAAATTTTAAAAACAAATGAATGGGAACAACCAATTTGGAATTAATTTTATATAGTGTGGAGTTTATACTTTATATTGTAAAAGTTACAAATATAAAAGAAACATATATATTATCTTCTTGAGTTACCGTGAACTTAAGATTTTGGAATCGTAATATTCATAAAAAAACTTCTGTTTTAAAATAAATTTAATTTCATATATATAATGAAAGTAACTTGTCTTTTTCAAAAAAAATTACAATGGAGAGCAAACTTCAGTAACTTTAGTGATAGGTTTAACTACAATTTTTACAGAAATATTTTTATTTAAACTAAAGCAAGTAGTTTCAATCAAATCGTCAAAATGTACTAAAACTTTTTGACCCCAGCGTATGGAAATAAAATTTTTAAGTCATTTGGTTATTAAAGCTGATAACTTTTAAATTAACACATGTTTTTACATTTTTTAGCATTAGATGTTGTCTTGTATGGTGCTCACTTTGTTGGTATGAAGTTGGCAGGGATGATTCTAATTGCGATTGGTTTTTTCCTTGTGATGTTTCCAGACAATTGGCCTGATTATATAACACGTTTCCTACGGTAAGTTAATGCATACAAATATTTTCTGTAAGCTGCACGTACATCCAAAAATGTATGTTTTAGCTTATACATATGCTGAGTTAACAGAAAATACAATACGTCGAATTTGCGTTGAAAAAGGGGATGTCATCTATAATTTAAAATTAAATAAAATATAAAATAAAGTTGTTTTCATATTCTATTAGCAGTTCTTCAGGTGTCCTCTTTTTTTACGCAAGTCCAACGTATCATTTTTTTTCCATAAAATTCTTGATGTTTTGTCATTAATGTATAAGTCATTATTATATTTATGCAAGAGTATATTTCCTAATTATTTATCATTACTTTTTCACTAGAATAGAACTAACACGTAGCTTCAAAAAATTGCTTTTTAGTTGCGACAAAATATCAACAGCTAAAGCTTTAAACATTGAAACCTTAATAGAACGAATTTTAAGTATTATAGAAACTTTTGTAACCTCTTTAAATTTTCTACTACAATAACATTTTACTGTTCATGTTTTTCTCTTACTTATTATACCATAAATAATTTTTAAAATCTTAAAATTTATTTAATATGATAATAGAATTCAAACCGCTTCGTAATTGAGGTATTTAAATAAATTTCTCCTAATTTTTATTTAATATTTCTTCAAATTTTATAAATGAAAAATTTTATTGAGGCGAGCATGTATATATATTTACGTGAATGTTCACAAAAGCAAGTGTTTTTCTAGAAATCACATATGCATTTGAAAATATGATATTGCAGAAAAAACTTCTACATGTTCATTGTTCAAAACTCATATATACTTTTGTTTTCAAGATCATATAAGATATGAATTTTTGATAAAGATAACTTTCATTTTTTAGATTGAACATTATAACGTTTATAAATCATGAGACTATGAAAGTAAATTATCACATGTATAAATTTCACGTTTAGAAAATGATAGATGGATACTATTTGAGTGTACTAATATTTTTTCAGAAGCCTAATGAACCAATTTATTGTTTATTTTATATTTTTTTATCAAAAAGATAGAGTTAAATAGTTCTTTACCTAATTATCTTGACCATTTTTTCCTCAACTATTAGAAAGGACCTTTCCACTTTCATGTCTAAATGTAAGGCACCATTCTCCTCTTCTACTTTCCATTGTCATAGGGTTGCCGTGAGTGTTACAATTTTTTCCCATAAAGTCTTTCCAAAGGAATTTGCTATTTAATATCACTTTATGATATTAGGCACTTGTAAGCAGTTGTTTTACCATGTCTTTATATTTAACAAAGAACAAACGTGGTCCTGGAACGATAATATGGCTTCTGTTAAAATTTTAAAACGATTAAATGTGGTTCTATTTATCTAGCGATTTTACGCAAATAATATATATATATATATAGTATTGTTCACATGTGTTGTCCAATTTGGAAGGGATTAATCTGACGTGTTTGACTACTTTATGTGTAAATTCCTATTTATGAAAACTAAGGAGCGAAATCTGAAATAGAATTACGGTTTTTAATGTCCGATTTAGAGAGTACATAGAAAGTGGGCAAAGATGATAAACTAGCGTCTACCAATTGTGAAGGCATATGTGAACTATAGTCATATCTCTATGCAAAAAAAATGGACCGATAGTATCAATAAAAAGTTATCTTTAATGGTTAATAATAATACCAATATTTAAATTATTATTAACTTAAAAGTTTGAAAAGTAAAATAGTTTTTAAAATTAAAAATACCTTAAAATTATTAATAACATGAGAAAAAAGAACCTATAGTTTACAATCTGTAAGTTTAATGATTAAAATTTAATTAGTTTTTTAAAAACCTCAAGGTATTGTATCTGTGTAATTTTTCCAAGTATTCTTTTTCGAACCTTGCTACTTACACCTGTTATTATGATTTTATGCTTGAAATTTGGTGTATTTTATTCAAATATAAACTACGTTTTTTTTAATGTTATTAATTCTTTTGCTATTTCGATTTTTACAAAATAGTTCAAACGTATATAATTTTTTTTGCAATTCAACAAATTCTGTAATGATTTACACCCCTTGCATTCGTCTTATATTAAAATTAATACTTTTTTATTAAGTAATGGTATACTTTTAAAAATATTATTTGGAATATAATCAGAAGTGTTCAAGAATTGTAACTCTTGAGGAAGTACAATATACACTGAAAAAATTCGGTGACGTTGCCTTACTTACTTACACCTGACCGGTCAAAGCTTTTTAATGTAATAATTAATGATAAATTGTTAATTGAGTTCTGATCTTTATAATAAAATTGTTTTATATACTGAGAAAAGTTCAATATGGATGTTAAAATAAACACACGTTCAGATGGTGTACCAAACCTTTTAAGCAACATCGGTACTAAATTGTATCGCATCTGCGCTTTTTGGTGGACAGATACTGTACTAAATCGTTCGTCCCACAAGTTAGGTCAGTGTCCTATTCGATTGGCACTGTTGTTGTTCGATTTTAGTACTGTGTTTGCACAAAATCGAAGTACAATTTTTGTCCCTCAAAAAGTTCAGATAATGAGCAAAATTTCTCTGAATGTATGTATTATAAATTGTGATGAAGAACATTTATTTGAAGAACACGCACGAATCGTAGCGTCTAATAATACATACCCTACCGAAAGAGTGGTACTGGAATGGTACTGAATTGGACTTGGCTTGAGTTCCACTTCAGTACCACTACCTGATAACCCATAAGAAGACATTTTTAAAGTACTTTAACAATAGTTTTAAAGGTATGTTAGAACAGCAAAACGTCTCTCACGATATCCGTGTAAAACAGCAAAAAAAAAACATAATAGTTTGTAGAAAATTTCAGTTAAGTTTGGAAATTATATTGCAATAATCCCTCCTTGAACAATAGACTCCAAGGTCCTTTGTTGAAGGATTACAATTTTAACCCGAGTTTTATTGCTTAAAAAATTTGTAATTTTCATAACTCAACTTTAAAAAATATATATTGAGATTCGTTAATATTTCCAGATTATGAATATCTAAAATTTATCATAAAATAATTACATATAAAAAAGTTATAATTTATCTCGTATACCTTAAGTTTGATAAAAAAATGGACATCATTTTTGAATTTAGCTGCCAAAGGAAATATCATATGCATAATAATGTATGAAAATAATATAAATCCATGAAAAACAAATATAATATTGAAATAAATATAAAGTTTTAGTTTAAACATATTGAAAAAGCTATTCGCTTTTCACTTTTATGAGGGTTTTAACGGTAACTCGACCCTTTTCGCAGGTAAATTTCCCAGTTCCATTTCAGTACCAAAATGCACCAAATTAGTACTGAGTTGGTACTGAGCCCTCAGTTCCAATTTCCCAGTACCAATCCAGTACCACTCTATCGGTAGGGTAAGCTTAATTGTCTACTAAGATGATGGATTCTTTAATATTCTCAAGATACTAGCTGTATGGCAGCGACACCGTATTTTCTAATGTGTCAATCAAACCAAGTTAGGTTAACCTGAATTAGATTGATTGATATTCTCTACTTCCTCAATATATACTTTTAATCAAGTTATCTCTTTGCTAATTATTTAATTATAAATCTTGTTTAATATAATTGCACTGGTCTGCATGGATTTTGTGAATGAAATGCAACATAATATTTCTACTAAATTTTTTTGTACTTCATACAAAAAAAGGGGGGTCGACAACTTTTCATTATGTTACGTGTTTAGAGAAATTGACTTAAACTTCTGATTACAGCGTTTTTAGGTCAGTTTTCGAAAAGTGTAGTGTACATAAGGTACAAAATTTGTTAAAAATTGTTAGTTTATTGAATTACTAAGGACAAAAAAATCCAAGGTTTAAAATTGTAATTACAATATGGAAGACGATTTGTTCGTCTATTAGCTCAAAATATTTATCTTTGGTGATGTAAAAGCCCCTTTTAGCAATTAGATGATCACTGACGCTGATTGCCTTCACGAATTCTTAAATATTTGCAATTACTTAGACAGTAACCTCAACTTCTTCTCAATATTCAGTGGATACAATCCGAAATTTTAAGTTTGTGTAACTATAGTGAATCCGGAATTAATCAGGTTGTAACGGGGTTTTTATAATTTACAATTAACATAAACTAGGCATCTGAACCCGCCAATTCAAAATACACATTATACAACAAATCTCAAAAAGGGGATCCTCCAAAACATATAAACGTCTGATGCCGGACGTTGAGGCAGGCCAACACTAACACACTTACCTCGATGACGCTCAGCTGACTCTTGACCGACGCCGCTTCTCGAGATGTGGGAAGAATTCGCCAAGGAGAAAACTCTTATTAAAATACTCCGAATTAACTCAAAGAAAAACCATTTATTAAACACTAACTAATTTAATTAAAAGATATACAAAAGATATATATTAAATTGATTGAGGATGAGAGCACGTCCGCTCTCAATCGATCGGGTAATTGAACTGCCTGGTAGATTCCCCTGCCGGTCCTTGGATCATCCCTATGATTCCGTCTCTCTCGCTCCTATGGTCAACCCTGGCCTACGAAATAACTAATCGGCCCTATTCGCCGCCCCCCGTGAACGTTCGTACGTCACGCCTGCGTACATCAGTTTGACGATAGATTTCGCGAAAGCAACTTAATTTGACTGCCACAAGAAAAGCAAGGCGAAAACCCAACTAACGAATGCTTCGTTACAATCCCCTCCCCTAGGCCGATGTTACTCTCAGTAATATCGCCTATCAATCTCACAAAGAGCCACAAAAAACCAAACCACAAAAAAAACAAATAAGGGGGAAAGTAAGCATTCTAGACACAGTTCAAAACCAAAGAAAATAAACTTGCTTTTTATTTATTTTATTTAATAAAATTAAAATTAAATAACAAATTAAGGAAATAAGATGACAGAATTAATACTTCTTTGAACTTAAAATTGAATTTCATGTCATCCCTTCCAAAAAGAAAAATCAACACTAGTGGCGTCGACTACGACGCTCCTTGAGGAACT